AGAGCAACGACCAACAACCCCAACTTCCACTTGTCCTCTTCTGTCAACCTCCTCCATCTTCCAGGTCCTACGTTCAGAACTATGGGAACACATTGACACCCACAACATCTTCCCACCTTCCAACCCATCGCAGGGTTCGGAACAGGAGCTTTACCCCAGCAGCCCAGTACCCAGCACCCAGCATTATCACCATTGTGTCGCATTCACCCTCACACTTCTACCCCGCCATGTCGTAGCGAAGCGGAGGTCGCATAGCGTCCCGCTGCAGATGTCATTCTTCATCACCATCATGGACGTCTGTTTGTTGTTGGGAGGAAGATATTGAGGTTGGATCAAGGATGGATGTCATCTCGTCTCCGCATCCTTCCCTTGTCTGCCCACGCCACCATCCAACAAGCGAGTCTGGGGAAGATGCTTGCTCTTTCACAGGGACTCGTCCATCCTTTCGTTGAACTGTTGCGTTTGAAGGATCCCCCTCCCCCGGACCTGCGCGACTTGGTGACAGTATCTGCTGCCAAAGTCATGACAGTCTCCAAATCCTGCCTTCGACAGAAAAGGCATCCACGTCGTTCTACAACCTAGAGAGCAGTGTCATCATCGCCGGATTTGTACCCTATAACCCCATTACATACATGATATGTACTATGGTGGAGCCCCAGCTGACGACTGACGACGTCGTGCTCCAACCGTGCTCCGGGTTTGCCGCCCCTTTTGAATACCACTACGAGCGCTGCTGCCATGACGACTTCTCTCGATGCTTGTTCCGCGATGTGCGGACACCGGCCGGACATCAAGCAGGGAGTTTCTTGGCACAGGTTGATGGCCCGTCATTGGCAGAAGTGTCAGCCACCTTACGATTAATACTCTCCCGGATTGGCCTTCGTCTACGGCGAGAGTCCTCCTCAGCGCAGATACTCACAAGCAGCAGAAGCACGACGTGATGCTGTCCTGCGCATGAGATCTGAGGAACATATCATCAACTTGATCCTTGTTATTGTTCAACCCCACGTTCTCAGCCGGCCACCGCCATACATGCTGTGTTGCAAGTCAACTTGACAAGTCACTCCAGGCGGCAAACATATGGTCCGTGAGAAATGACAACATTATAGCTTTCGGGTGAGCGACCGAGGAACCTTGAAGATCCAATATCGAAGAGTACGAGAGAAATACAAGGGGATAGGCAGTACATGGTTACCCGCCAATGTCTCACATTTCATGCGTTTTGAGCCAGCGGACCTTGCAATGGCCATTCTTCAGAACCCTTGAAGACATCTCTGCTTAGTAGCTCCAACGGTCCCATGAGCTTGGAACCAGCAGTCGAGCCCAATCAGCGGATCGACCACAGCCGTTCCTCCTCATTCATCACTTCCACCTTTCACCACCTGAACCCCTCCCCTCCTCGCTCCCATAGCATGTTGCATTCAAGAACCTCACCAACTTTGGTTGCAATCTTGGCTTGTCGTGCCACATCCCGGCATGAGTTGCTTTGTCGTTGGTCTGGGGAATATGACGGGCTGAGCTTACATACGTTTCAAAGCTAATATCACACACAAACTGCTAACAGGTGAAATTCCCACATATCGACGTGGATATCTCTGTGACGGCTTGAATAAAGCTGCGCTACCAAAACTTGGGACGAAAGCCAACTTATCTAACCAGTTGCATCATAGGAAGTGGCGGACCTTCTACATCTGGGCCAATATGATGCTCACGAACCAAGCCGGTCTGAATCTTCAGACATGATCGCACATATGACCGGTATATCATCGCTCTTATGCTTTTATGGACTACCGGCGATGGGTATCGAAAGGGTCGCGGACTTCATTATCCCCGCCTCCTTTGCGGAATCTGGAGACTGTGCCACCCCTGTGCATACTTACTACCTACGCCCCGTGGGCACATCAACCTGCTCAGTATCCCATCATATATCACGCTGGCCGTTTTATGCGTGGTGATGGGAGAGTGGGTTTTGGCGGTGCTGTGTCACTTGAAGCTCGGCTCATGTACCGGACTACTGAAACTCTATCAAATTCAAGAAAAAGCTCTGCCACTCTTATTAGATTGAGCCACCTTCCTCATTGAAAGCTCTAACTAACAATCTAGTGGAAATACGTGGAAACACAAGTGTCGTGGATAAGCTGGCATTCCGACATTCCTAGCCCGGGTATTGGTCATAAAATCGGTTGATCGACTGGCAAAGGGTCACCGTACAAGGCAGGTACCCTTTCCCACCAGAAGACGGGGGTGTGCGAAGCGGGACAGACACTCCTATCAATGACCTGGCACGAAGGACTTGAAGGGTCTGGTCCTAGATGTGTTCACACCTCGCATCGTGCTACCTTCTGCCATTGCCCGGCCTTAGCAGAGACATCCAATATCACGCAAGGCAAGAAAGGAGACGGAAAGGCATATATTGACAGCACATATCATCAAGTTGCCAGATGGCTTCAGTGTGAAGGGGACCAGTCGACGTGATGCTTCTTAACACCAGGGTACCTAAGCACACCACCTCCAAGCAGCTCTCAGACTAAAGCAGGTAAGTGTTCGCTACCGTGCAAAGAAGGTCACTGCACATGCAGTAAAAGACGCCAACAGCCATCACCAGGAGAGCATGACGCTCCGCGCTCCCCTTTTCCAGAGGTCTTCAAAGAGCGTTAAACCATTTTTGCAATGGTTTCGGCAAGTAGACGTTCCGAAGGCTCCAGCCAGGCATAGTGAATTCCGGGAATTGCGAGTCGATACAACTCGGAGCCCTGGCTATTCTGCTGATTGAGCCTGACTGGCGAAGACAGAAACAGAAACAAGCTAGAGGGGTGTCGATAACATTTCAGCAATCCAGAGACAATGTCGTGGACCGTGGCGCCCCGTTCGACTGGTTACACCCACCCTAAAAACCCCAGCTTGCCCAGCTCCCCCAGGTCTCACGGTGTTTCGCAGCGGCCCTCAGCATTGGCGTCTGGGATCAGGGGACAAGAAACATGCGCTAGAGTGAAAGGCTTCAGGGCAGCGAGGCAGCTCGCTTTCGCTCATCACACACAGTTGCAAAGAAGAAGATCAGCGAGTCTCACAGGTATGTACACTAAAGAGCTCCATAAACCTGACCCAGCTTTTACAATACCAACCTCGTTCTATTCTTTCCAATCATCACAAAACCGTAGCAAGCCATTGCTCTTTCGTTTAGCACTCAACCGGCTGCGGACAATTTATAGGGGCGGTTGGAAGAAATGAGGCCAGAAGACACCAGGCACGCCGGTGGCCGGGCCCCGTCATGTTGCAGAAACCACGGGGCCATGGTGCCGCCAAGAACGTCGCTTCCGGGGGCCAATGCGTTTGCTGGTCGTCTGGGGTTGGGTTGGCCGACGACCGTAGCTTTGGCGGGAAACCGAATGGTCCCTTTTCTTGTGTGTCCCTCTCACCAAATTTTCCCCCCTTGGTATACAGCCGGGATCCACGGTGTTCCGTTGCGGACGACTACATAAAGTTGCTGAGCACATATTTTATTTCCTGATCCCGAGTGGTAATAATGGGCGAATAGTATTCTCCTCCGTCACAAATGGGAAAACCAATCGAGTTGGAAAAGACGAGCTGAATCGTTGGGGAAATCAACACGGGTCGATTCGACTCACTGCCCTCTTGGACCGCTAACTGTTGGCTGGGGGCATCTGGCCCGGATTGCAGAAAGCAACCTAAGCAGCCAGCAACGACATCGTGGTGAAGAACTGATGGTGGATGAGAAGGAGGATGGGAAGCGAACGGCCAGTAGCCATCGGGCCAAACGACCAACGGCGAATAGGACAGCCACAGTAACAAGGAAGAGAGAAAGCAATAATAAACTGCAACCTTATAGAATACAGTCTGGTCAGTGGTCCATCCTGGATGGCATGGCACCGCACCGCCTGTCCCCACCCGTGGTGATAGGTACTGCGTAGCCGTAGGGGGAGGTTGGCCGGCTGGTACTGTAGCGTTCGATGGGGGGTGTGTGATGTGTGTGTGTTTGGTACTAACGCATGTATGTGGTGAAGTATTTTGGGAACTTTGGCCCTTTTTTACCTTGTTGCCGTCGTATTCTTTTCCCCAGAAGACCGTTGCAACTTGCCCGGCCTTGTCTCTGCGAGCGAGGCCCGGATATACATACTTTTACTGCCCTTTTCCCTCCCGCCCTTAGGTTCTGCCTGTTTCTCGGGACCCTTGACTCTCTCTCGCTTCGCTTCTGCTTTCCCCCTCGCTCCGCTTTACCTCTTTTATTTACTTGGCCTGCCCTCCTAAACCCATTTCTCCACCCACCACTCGCATCTCCGTTTGCTTGTTCGGCCTTGTGGTGAGGCAGTGTTTTTGACTGTTTTTTGCTGCGAAAGCAAGTCGGTCGTTGCCTCTGTCCTTCACTGCCTTGGGTCCTGTCTTTCGTTACTTAACCAAGTAAACTCCCCTCCTTGTCTGTTCGCTCTGTTTCGGTCCATTCGCAGTCCTGCAGACCTTCTTTCCACGCACAATTGCCATCCTTGCTGTCTATACTGAGGAGGACGGAAGGCCAAGCATTCGAACAAAACGTGCTGCTGTGGACTTACTCTATCCCCTTGGTTTTCCCATGTGGCTTCTCCCGGCGCTCAGCAATTCGACACCCACAGCAACGAGATCCACCATACCTACCTAATTCATCTTTCCTCATCTAGCTATTTCGCAGTACGGCTCCCAGTACGACTACCGTGGTCGACTGACTCCTACCACATCCGGGCAACGTTTACCATACCCAGTCCACACGTTTTACAGAACAGAACACAGGCATTCCTGAATCGACGACGGCCTTTGACGGGGAAGTTTGCGTGATCCAGCAGTGGGAACCTACCCGACCCTCGATTCGAGCTGAGCTGTCAGCTTCGCGATACGCTAAGGTCTTAGCCCCGAACGATTATTGTCTTGTCGGGATCCCCCTCCCCCAACCGCAAGCGACGATAACAGCTTCTCGGTTACCCACATCAGCATCACCAAGACAAACAGTCGGCATGTATCAACCTGAATCTGCGGCGTACATACCTCTCTCGACGGGATACGGTAATTCACACGGACTCGCCGACTACACATTCGAACAGACGACAATAGGTGGTGGAAGTGGTGGTGGTGGTGTTGGTGGTGGTTATGTTGGTGCTCTCGGGGGTCTTGGTGGTCTTGAAGGAGGTGGAGGCGGCAGTGGTTCAGGTGGATACACGGTCGGGGGCGGCCCGGGAGCGGCCGCTACAGCAGCAGGCGCCGCCGCTGGGTCAGCATCAATAGTTCCTGGGACCGCAGGGGCAATCTTTGGCCCAGGTTCAGGTCCCAGCATCAGCAGCAACACCGTCGGCGTGGGCCCCGCTTCTGGACCCTTATACACCCACGCCAACTCGTTCCATCATTCATCCCATCATCACTCCTCACATTCGTTACCACTGCACCACGGCAATCACGGCGCCGGCCACAACCAGCACCAACACCACCAACAGTCGCACAGCCCACTTTCATACGTCTCGCATTCGCTCTCTCCCAGTGCTGGCGGCAGCACCAACCCCTCCTCGCCAGCTTCCATCTCACAATTTCCCCCACAACACCAAATCCAACAACAACACCAGCAACACCATCACCAACGTCATCATCATCAACAACAACAAGAACAACAGCAACAACAATACCAGCACTCTCAATTCGATTCTCAAATACCGCGGTACCAACCATCGTCGGCTATCCATCAACACCACATCAAAATGGAAGCAACCGGCGACGATCATAGCGACCTGGCCGCAGCCCAAGGGTACCAGGAGTACCAGCCTGAGCTCAATGTAAGAAAAATTGCTGCTCTGGATTTCGCCCACAACCGTCATCGCCCTCACATCCGGTTCTCCTCCAGTCTCTCCAGCTGTATGCCGTTACTTACATGGGGTTCTTGCGTGTCTATAGGGTCCTAATGTTAGCGACAAATTGCCAAGCACAGCCATTACAGAAGAATATGCCAAGGCCGATCCCGTCTACGTTCAGAAAACGAGGGTGAGGACTGCTATCAGAAAGTCGAGACCAGGTGCGGCATGTACTAATATTGTCTTAGACACTCCCACAGACATATTCCCATTACCGTCCGATGTTGGGGGACGGCAACTGCGGCTGGAGAGGTGAGTTTTGGACGTGATAGCTCGGGGCAGCGGCCAGGCCGACACCATACTGCAACTTTGAGTGCTGACGAAATGCCCCCTTTAGCAATTGGCTTTGGCTACTTCGAGACCCTGATCAGGCTCGGCAACAAGGCTCAGGTGGACGCGGAGAAGCAGCGTCTAGAAGGTCTTAATGACTACATCCAGCACCACGGTGGCTTTTGACCCATGGTATTCGTGGACTTTGTCGAGGAAACGACCGAACTCCTTCAGAGGGTGTCAGACAAGTTTGCCAACCCGGATGACGCCTTGAAAGAAGTTGTGGACACCTTCAACGACGTGGGCGTCTCAAACGGTATCATCTATCACCTTCGCCTGCTCGCAAGTTCCTGGCTCAAAGAAAATCGCGCCGCTCACGAGGCCTTCATCACCACGGACGGCGGCAGTCTTGACAAGTACTGTCAGCGTGTTATCGAGGTATACAATGTCGAGATTGAGCAACTGGGCTTGCAGGCACTAGTCAATGTGCTGCTGAAGCCCATCGGTTTCTTCTTGAAGATCGCTTATCTGGATCGCAGCGCCGGCTCTGAGGTCAACACTTACACCTTCCCAGAAGAAGTCGCCAGCCAGACATCTCCCCTCGATCCCGTCATCTGCCTACTTTATCGGCCCGACCACTATGATATACTTTACCCCGTGGACCCAACACCACCGCCTGCGACTACGAACATCCATGTTTTCCGAGCCACCATCCCCCAGTACGAAATCACACCCGCGGCCCCATTCACGGCGGCTGGAGACTACGGTCTCCTTGCGGGAATACCAGGCTTCAGCTCCTCTCCCTCGCCACTCGGGGCATTGGGCGTTGGACTTGGATCGCCGCTTGCGCCTTTCACCCAGGCCCCGACACAATCTTGGATGTCTGCCCCTTTCGGAACGGAACCGCTCCAACCAGTTGCCGCCTCCCTGCCAATCGCCGCAACGGCCCCTCCTCCGCCACCACCACAGCAGACGCATCCGTTGCGATTTAGCGAATACTGCCAGATGCCCGAGTATGTGGAAAACGACACGTGGCGCGAACCGACGTTCCAGACATCGACATTTAAGAACAGTCACTTCAACGTCGCGCATTACAACAACCCCAACTTCCAACCAGAGGAGTATAAACCGGAAAATGACGAGTACGACCCACCACCAAGGAGTGGGCGGAAGAGAGGGAGTGTATAGATGAGAGGCGAGCATCACGAAGGAATATGAGGGTTGGAAGCATATGGAAAAAGGGTCGTAAGGAGGCGCTTACCCTTTTGACTCACACAAACGGAACTGGACGACAAATATTACTCACTCCGGGGTTTTAATACAGCGACCTGCATTCGCGGAGTTTGGCTCTTAACATCATGTTTTTTCCTTGTCCTTTCTTTCCACAAAGGTCAGGGGGCTTGAGCAATAGGGTTATACAGAGAGGGGTATTCAAGAGAGAAAGAGAGAAAAGGGCGAGACACTCCAAAAAGCGACGAGGGGTTCTTGTTATGGAAGCTTAGCCGGCGCAAATTTTATTTCATGACTACTACTACCGTTTGACTCTGTGTCTAATTCTGTGATCCTCCTTCGCTCTCGCATTATCATCGCTTCACTGTCGGTTTCATTTTCTAGGTAAAAAAAAAGTAGGTTGGAAGATCGGCATCAACCAGCCACCTGGGCCTCCTGTACCTGTACCATGGCAGGCATGGCAGTCATGGTACAACCGTCAGATTTGACGATCAATGTGACGCGAGTATGTATCGGCCAAGTATCAACTTCCCTTGCCCTGTCTGGCCTGGGCACAATACATATGATCGTTCTGGAAGCACTCAAAAGGTAAGCGCTAAAGAATCTGCAACCATTTAACTACAAGGTGCAAATCTCCAATGGGAGAAGTGACACTTCATCAAGCATGAGCATGACAGGTTTTGTCGTGCCTGTGCCGTGTTATGTGCCGTTGTGTCGGTGTGGTGGTACTTAGATGGGATATCGGAGGACCTGGGAGCTAAAAGCAAAGAGGAGGGGAGGAAGGGCGTAGAGGGGGGTGGAGGGGGGCTGTAGTTATCGGGTACGTTAACCATGTGGTCTGTGTCTCAGCCTGTCAGGCGGGCTTGCTAGGATTCTTGCCGCTGGGAAGGGGACCTAAGAAAAATGATCTGGAGGGACTTTAAGTGTTGAGATGACTGCGTCAACATTTATTTGGTTGATTATTCGAGGCGTGGAAAGCGACAGAGAAAATGAAAATTTGCTCCGATGTCGTTTTGGAAAAGGAACTCCATTGTTTGGAGTTGGACAGAAATGAAGTATGGGGAGTCCTTAAAAATGAAAAAAAAAAAAAAAAAAGTAGTCTTCTACGTATTCACAGGCAGACCAGCAAACGGAGTGGCCATTCTGCGCCTTCAAATCATCAGGTTGAGAGATGAAGAAAAATCCGTCACCAACCCCTTCCCTGTCTTCGAATACTAATCTTACTGGAAGGGTTGCTGACATCCTTGCTTGCCACCATCGGCACATTGGTGATATTTGTCGCTGAGAAAACGGCCCCTGTACGCTATGCGCTGCTTTCTCTCCATGCATGTCTCTAAACATTCATCCATGTACGAAAACAATACTCACCCTCATCTACCAGCGTTCATTAGAAACCCGTCCCGTTTCCCATTTGCAGCCACTATCTCCGCAAATCATCTCCTACCTATCCTTCTGCAACATCTCCCTCACCAGCTTTACAAACTTTCTTTCCTCCTCTGTCACCTTCTCCTGCTCATTATTTCCCGTAGTAACCTTCCCACTAACCAACTCCTCCAACAACCTTACCACCTCCTCCTCTCCCACTGTCTGCACCTCCTCAACACCAATATTCCTCGCCAGTGTTGCCGCCCATTGATCAGCCACTGCAGGCGGGGTCAACTTTCCCTCGTAGTCCTCAGCCTGAGCCTGGCTGGACTTGTCCAGCTCCCCCCTAATACTCGTAACCGTCTTCCCTTCCAACCCGCACGCCACAAACCTCGCCCACGGGTTTACCGCTTCGGAAGTGACTTCCGGGCCGGGCATGTCCACATTGATGGCCGTGCCGAGGCCGGAGACGTGGCGGCGGAGGTGGACGCCCAAAGCCGCAATCTTCGCCAGCGGTCCTGTTTCACTTGTCCCTTCTTGCTGCTCAGTCCCGCTCAAAGCACATCCCTCTTCCTCCGCTGCTGCTGAACTACCAGGAGACCAAGACGCACCACTTCGGACCCAAACCCCCGGATCCTCCGTCGTGAAAGCCTTTAGACCAAACGTTTTCAAAACGGTGGCAATGGTTGTCTTTTCTAGTAAACGGGTGTAACACCGCACCGTGTACTTGTTATGCTGCGACGAGACCAAATCCAAAATCGGCCAGAGAACAACTTGGCCGGGGCCGTGGTAGGTAGTTAGGCCGCCGCGGGGGGAGTGGAGGATTGAGACTGGGAGTTTGATGGCTGTTTCCGAGCCATCATTTTCATGTGTTTGTCCCACTTGTGATGATGATGATGAGGATGATGATGATAATGATCCATGGGGAAATTGTACGGGAAATGATAACCGAGCTGCTTCGGCATCGCTTAGTGGACTGGTTTGTCGCCGACCCAAAGTGTAGGTGGGTAAGGGCGTGAATGAGATTAGCGTCGGCGTGTAGGGTTTTGAGCCGGGGCGGTTGTCCTTGAGGTCCAGGAGGGAGCGGCGGAGGTGGTCCTGCAGGCGCGAGGCTAAGGCGTAAGGAGGGTAGAGGGAGGGGGCCCGGTAGGGCAGGCGGATATGGAGGAGACGCATGTTGGTCGGGGTGGTTGTGTCTTGGCCCGGCTCTGATACGGATCGCTAATTCGATCGATACCTTATGACGCTGTGTGAATGCTATATTGCGTGTGGGTGAGTGGATTGTTGGGCAGGCACCAGAAACTCGGATCTGCTCGTTTTCGGATGAACCTCTGTAAAGTGTGCCACACGATCACATCACACACTGGCTGGCCACTGCTGCTACCTGCGGTATGTTCGGGTATGTAGTCATGCTTTGTATTTTTGGTTTTCCATTTCCCCAGACTATTGGACTTGATATAGTCTAGCGTGAAATTGCTGATCAAGGCCATTCCTGGTTCTTGGGACCACGGCGCGAACGGATGAGCACGGTCAGGGCGGGGATGTCGATTACGGACCCCCCAGGTTTTGTACGTGTGCGATTGGCTGACAAGGGGTCTCTCAGTTCTCAGAATCTCAGCACCTCATCACTGATCGATGGCGAGCCGCCCTGCCTTCCGGTCAGTGTGAAGTGTGATACCGGTCACCGGTCGGCAGGTTCCGGAAAGTTGAGTACGTGTAAAAGTGCTGTCTCAGAGTTAGAACGGACGGAAGCCCGAGTCACCTTCAACTTCCCCCGTAACGGAAACCGACCACATATCGTCGACTCCTTCGTCCGGTCTCATTTTTTGCGCGCAGTGGATCCGATAGTTCACTTCTCTAGGTAAGTTTCGTTAGTGCGACAACTTCTCTGTACACTACGCTCCCTGTACGCTAGCATGCCGTGCCTGTTAAGTATTAGTGTAGCAGTTACAGGGCTGCGCTGCTATCACGCCCGGCCTCTGTACAGGGAGGGAACAATTCAGGCATGCGTCAGTTCAGTGACTGTGACATTGTCGGTGATACAAAAACCCAGCGGTGCTCTCTCCTGCCTTGGATGCTAAGGTCAACAACACCAATAGCAGAGACAGCCGCTGTGATAACTGTTTCTGAAGGTTACAATCTTGATAATCTTCACTGGAAACGGGTAGAGAAAGTGCAAGTGGTCTGATTTTGGGGCACCAACTGAACAACACTCAAGATGTTAGCGGTACCAAGCCGCTGGAAACTCCACCGTCCCGTTCTTACGCCTGAACTCCACAGCGGGCTTGATTTGCGCTAAAGGCGGGATGCAGCCTTGGCATCACTTTTTGCGAATTTACGTTCACGCCCTCCCTCTGAGAAGCTAACCACACACTCACATAACACACAGTATATTATACCTGTTAGTCGTACTCCCTCACACCTTCTGATTTTTACATCGATGTTCTATACAGAACTAGGAGTGACGATTAGACCACCGATATTAGGGTATCGCTGCAAATGCGTCAAAGCCCAGCAGGTGATGTCTCCAGGTTCGGGTTCCTGACTGCACAAGTACAACTGTTCCATCTCAAGATCCTTAGTACCTCGCCATGTGGTCCTGCCCAAGATACCCTGTAAGTCTCTTCTTTTACCAAACTGATTCCATGCCTCCGGTTCTTCCATACGTCGCTCATATGAGTGACTGGCTTGTGCTTCTTTGCCCAAGTTCCAGTAGTTTCCAGGGATCATTGAGATCCAAATTCAGAACACTTCTCTCCAGCTGCGGGAAGGCTCCTATGCAGTACGATATTAGTCTGGAGAAGTCATCATTCCTGACAGCTGCGGTGGGTATGTCATTATTAACGCTAAAATTCTGAAGTAAAACAAAGCTAGTCCGCTCAGCTGTTATCCCACAACCTCCTGAGACCGGTGAGGGCTATCAGCATAGCCTCATCAGTCCTGATGCCTCTGCTACCCTGGTTTGGCAGGACGTTGACCCAGTGCTCGAACAACTCCTTCGTCCGGGGGCCGTGAATGCCGATCTTGCTAAGCTCGGGGTCGTTCATGGCAGCGTATTCGAGACCGCGCGGGCCGCCGAATGCGACAAGAAGATGGGTGAAGTTGGCCTCCTTGTGCTCGGGGAAAGCTCTGTGCAGGGACTGTCCACGCTCTGATGTACCGATGGACAAATCGTAACCTTCCTCGTAAGGACTCTGGGTGAACACATCGGAGAGGGTCGCAGCCTTGCGGACCGTGTAGCCCCAGAAATAACCGCCTTCGGTCCTGGGAACCGCGGGATGAATGGGTTCTGGCGATCCGTACTCGCCTACGGGCATCTTCAACGTGACTCGTGTCTTGGGAGGGAGCTCCTCGTCAATGGTGACTGTCTCTTCGAGGCCAATGTCGACAACGGTTCTATGATGCTGTTAGTTCACTTGTTTTGTCTGCATTAGGAACACCCTCAACCTGGGGAAAGCTTACCCCTTGCCACCCTTGGGTTGAGCCTCCAGTGTCAAGCCTTCGCGATACGGCATCCACTCGCCCTTGTACGGATGGTGTGGCATGTCGAGGTTGGGAAGCAGGCCCTGAGACCTGAGGTTCGGGTGCATGGGGAACAAGAGCTTGCGCATGAAGGGCGGTGTTTCGAGGTAGTTGAGGAGATGCTCGAGGAAGTGCGCGGGGTCGACATCGCCGGTATAGCCTTCGTGATCGGTGCTGGCAGGGCGGGACTCGACCGGGCTGTCGTCGTATATGACAATCTCGTCAACGGAGAAAACCGCGCAGGCTCTCGCAATACGGCCTGCCCATGTTGTCCTTTGTTCGCGGGTCACACAGTCGGTGATGACACTGGTAGGTACTGCAACTGAGATGGTCCAGTCTCTCGCGGCGGTAGGCTTGAAACGTGCTGGCTTGGCATTTGCTGCGCTGAGGGAGGATGGTTGGCGTCCAGAGCTAGGAGTCTCGTCGACATCAATGCGACGTCTCTGCATCAAAGGTTAGTTATCTTGTAGCGCAATCAGGTCACCGGCGGAAAGAGTTATGGAAGTGGGCTTGTGGAAGATAAACAAAGGGAGCGCCCATGGAAGGAAGCAACGAACAACATGATCAGGCTGGATGGGCGCAGAAACCTGTCTTGATATCTCCCAATGTTACAAGCCATGGTCGCTAATACCAACACCACTTCCATGAACTCCATCACCACCATTGGATGGCCCATGATATCATGGCTGGGATAACAAAGTACTCGACTCTTTGCGCCGAAGCTCTTCCTTTACACGAAATCGCTAAAACATACCTTGAATGAATGGTCTTGTGGGGGTCCCATCTTGGAGTAGGCGTCTGAGTATTTACAGAACAATTGATTGGGAAAATGGGGTGGATGATTGAACGGTATAGCGGATCCAAGTCGTTGCGCGGACGACGACACAGAGATTTTGGGAGCCTTTCTGGATTCTGCCAATTCACAGCTGAATCTGAAATGGAAATCTTGACCGCCCTGCTTATCTGCGCGCCAAAAGGATTCTAGAAGCTTGATCTTTACCCTAACCCTAGAATAGCAGTGGATAACAACCGGGGCATCCAGGTCCGACTTTCTTTCATTGGCCTTTCCTAGCAACTCCCTTGTATTAACAGCGCTTACACTGTCGTCATCGCGGACACACAGAAAGGCCACATCACGAGAAGACATCTATCATTCTACCACACCAAACATCACCGTGCGATCTTTTCAATAAATGGAAACGTTCAAAGACACCAATATATCGAAATGAGCGCTACTGTTAAGGTCAACTCGTCAACGCAATGGCGTCAGATCTTGAGCTCGTCGGCCATCGTTGTCGCTGACTGTAGGTCACCTCACTCCACCCTTCATGCATGAGGATAGCTCTGCACAATACCATAACTGCCATAACAATATCGCTGACACCTTTCTAGTCTATGCTGACTGGTGTGGTCCTTGCAAAATGATTGCTCCGGTGTTTGAGTCGTTGTCGACCAAATACTCCAAACCTAACAAGATCACTTTCTGCAAGATCGACGTCGACAGCCAGCAGGAAGTGGCCCAGCAGTATGGCGTGCGTGCCATGCCGACCTTCCTCATTCTGCACAACGGCTCTGTGATCGAAACGATTCAGGGAGCTAACCCTCCAGCTCTGACCGGCGCAGTTGATAAGGCTGTCAAGTTGGCCGGCGGTGCTGCGGGAGGTGGTGCTGTATTCAAGACCACCGGACACCGACTCGGCGGCAGTGGAGTATCCGGGTCCCGCCCCGGGACATCGGTGGCCCGTCCCTGGAAGTGGGATATCAAGAACTTGATCAACGCAACCATCGCCTTTATTGGACTTTATATCACTTCGCTCTTTTCGGTAGGGAATCATTATTCGTTACGGCCCCCTTGGAGTCTTTCAGCAAAACATACTAACAAGGCTGGCTTTCAGCTTGACCCATACAAGGCGGCAGAGAACTCTCCGTTCAACAAGAACAACCCGCCACCACAGGCATTTCCATCTGCAGGCGGTTCTGTCGGGAAAAGGCCTGCGCCGGGCGCCAAGTTCAAGACATTGTCTGACCTGGGCAATTAAAGTTGGTGACCCGAGCTGGTAAGGCGTCGTTAAGCGTACAGTAGCATGCTGGAGTAAGGGCGTCGATGGCGTTTCGGACGAGTGGCACTTGGTCTTTGGTCTCGTCCACGCAGCCTTTTCTGATTTCTTTGCCCCTTTGGAAACTAATACTCCTTATTGATCAGAAGACAGATAGCACTATCCGTTGTCTTCCTTTTCGTGTTGTCGCCACAGTGACAACCCCTCTTCGTGTAAATAGGGGGCCGATGATAGGCTACTGTCACGTGTGAACGTGTGGCCCGTGTATCCACTAAAACTTTAGCCTAGACAGAGGACCCTTCTCTGCGAAGAAGATCTCCAATTTAAATTTTGTACCTGAAACCTTCCATCCCAATATTCTCGGCCAGAGATATCCTCAAGTCCCGGCGATTCAAGATGCTTTCGGCGGGTAGACTTCAGAACCGATGCCCTGGCTGCAGGCAGCAGGTCTTGAGCTTTTACGATGCTCTTCTGCAGCAGCGCACCAGGGTAGCTACCCGGCCACTTTTACGCCCATCCCCCACCAGTCCCGCAGCGCGTCGCGGTCTTGTTCGACATCTTTCTTCCACCAGATCAGTTTTCCAAGAAGCGACACAAAGCACCGCCGGCGCGACCTCGACAGAACCCCCTGCCGAAGACCCCGAGCTGCTCCGTGAAGACCCTGATTACGATGCCGAAACGTTCGTGCGCCAAGCTCGTCAAACATTCAAACACACACTTCCCTATGGCTACTTTACGGAAGAAGAATATCAGATCTACGAGCGACTATACGGCGCGCCACTTCGCGAGACAGCACCGGAGGATGTCGGAATACCACAACTTGGCGGTGTCAATATCCCCGACCAAAACAGGCAACGTACCCTTTTTATGGAGACCGAGTCTGGGGAGTACGAGGAGGTCGAATACACCATCGAGAACCCTCCTGCGGAAGAAAGCGATGTAGAAGCCGTCGCGGAGTTACGCCCCCTCACCGAGGCTCAGATCGAATACCTAAACGTAACGGCCAACAACAAACGCGAGATGGCTGCGCTTATGAGACTACAAAGGGACTTTGAGGCGGCCAGTCTTCGCCCGCTTGAGGATATCGTAGAGGAAGAGGAGATTCAGCAAGAGGATGAGGAAACCTTTGAGGAGGAAGAGGGCTTTGAAGAGGAGGAAGAAGGATGGATCAGGCCTGAGCCATCTGTCAACTCGAGAATCCATCCTGCTACGCGCATTGGCATCTCCAAAACCAAGCCGAGCACGCTGCTTCTTCCCAGGAGAACCTTCACCGAGCCCATCAGAGATCTTCTCAGCCGCACCAACCCTACCCACATCCGCGAACATGCTGAGGAGGTATTCGGTGGTCCGGGACTGCCACACTCACCGGCCACGCCAACAACGAAGAAGAACCTGGGACAGAAGCCGGTGGCAATGCAAGCAGGCCAATATAAGATGAGCGCGATCGAGGCAGATACCTATATCTCCACCGTCCTGCCTGGTCTGTATGCCACTACAACCAGCATCTTGGTTGAGGTCCGCAAGCGCCTCGGTCCTGATTGGCTTCAGGGGCTCCTAACAAACGGTACGGGTCCGCGAGTTCTCGACGTCGGCGCTGGTGGAGCAGGTCTTGCTGCATGGCAGGAGGTTGTAAAAGCGGAGTGGGAGATTCTCCATGAGCAACGCAAAGCTAATAAAGGTCAACAACCTCCTGGAAAGAAGACTGTCGTTGTAGGTTCCGAGAACTTGCGTCAACGTGTGTCCCGGTTCCTTCATAACACCACCTTTCTTCCCCGACTACCCGATTACCTGCATTCGGCCGAGGGAGCTGAGCGCACTCTCGACTCTGATGGAAACCCCGCCCAGAGAAAGGTTTTCGATGTTATCATCGCTTCCCACCAACTGATGCCCCTTGATAAGGCATACAAGCGCAAGGATTTCATCGACAACCTTTGGACCATGCTTAATCCCGAGGGCGGTATTCTCATCGTCTTGGAAAAGGGTCACCCCCGTGGCTTCGAGGCTGTGGCTGATGTCCGTGACCGCATGCTTAACGAGTTCATCATCCCGCCCGTTTCCGTAGAGACAGGCGAGGATATGACACCGGCCCCTGAATCAGATCGCGTTCGCGAACCCGGCCACATCATTGCACCTTGCACGAACCATAGCAAGTGCCCCATGTATCTCACCTCTGGAGAGACCCCAGGTCGCAAAGACTTCTGTCATTTCAGCCAGCGCTTCATCCGCCCATCTTTCCTCCAGAGAGTCCTCCAAGCCTCTCACCGTAACCACGAGGACATCGAGTTCAGCTACATCGCCATTCGCAGAGGCGCGCACCCCGACGGAGTCAAGCCACCTTCCGCTGAGTCTAACGTGACCGATCCTGCCTCTTCGTTCTTCCAAGGCCCAGAGGCGGTTGACCGTGCCTTCAAGGGCTACGAAGACGTTGAAGCTGGCATTCCCCATGCCCTTTCCCTTCCCCGCAACATCATGCCACCTCTCAAGAGCAAGGGTCACGTCACGTTCGACCTCTGCACGCCCGCCGGCACCATTGAGCGCTGGGTCGTTCCCAAATCCTTCTCCAAGCAGGCGTACCATGACGCCCGCAAGGCCAAGTGGGGTGACCTGTGGGCCTTGGGAGCAAAGACTCGCACCCGCCGCGACATCCGTCTAGGCAAGGCCGGGAAGCTCGCTGCGGATCTCAAGAACCCGGGCGACGGCGGCGTCCGCTCCCGTGAACTTGCTGGACTCGGCTCCAAGAGGAAGCCTAAGGTGGTCGAGGTCACCGTCGATCCCAACACGAACAGGATCCTGGGTGCCAGTGAGAAGTATCCCAATGGCAGAGCGCCGGTGGAGAGGCGGACAAAGAATGGTAGGAAGGTCAAGATGAACGATCTCATGGACGAGCTTCAGGATGATTCCCGTTACGGAGCAAAGTATGTCGATCCTGACGATGTCGAGGATGAGGAGTTCAGACGGGCGCCGCTCCCTGACGGATTCTTGGAGAAGGAGCTGTTCGGTGACAAGAAGTAAAGAAGAGGAAGCGAATGAAGTGGCGGTGTGTAAGATATATGGATATGAAATATGGAACTCAGGTACCCTTACGATAAACACCCTCTGGAAGCAATATCAATACTACAGAGTTAAATGTCATCCATAATAAGTCTATGAATTGCGTCGGGATAATATTGCTCAAGTGAAGTTATAACATCAACTTGTGCCGTCATGGCTTCTACAGTACATAATGTCAAAGAGGCATGGATCTCTGAACCCAGCAGCCACTTGTGCCCCCACGCTGCTTACCATAGTTTTAGGGAACAGGAACTTGCACCGTAACCCAGACAGTCACACAGTTTGTTCGAGTCATTTGTCTTATCTTGCAAAGACCAATATAGCCATCAATCAGTTTCCCCGTTTTTTTCGGGGTTGCCAAATCCGGGGTTTCTCATCGAGGCTGTTGCCGAGTGTGGAGCATAACCCGACATCTTGGGTATGATCTCCCTAGAATGGTGGCTTGCTGGGCTGCTGGGCTGAACTGCAAATAGTTACCACATGCCTTCCACATCCAGTCACATGTGGTAACACTCTTTTTCAGAAAAAGCAAACCGAAACACTAATCGTCAGGCAGTCTCGCACAGTTGGGGGTTTGAGACGTGGTACCTACCCAGAGAACGGTCCCTCCCCTGGCCGACTGTAATCGGGCCTCATCACGTCTCGAAATTCATCGCGTCCTGTCCTGTCCTTTTTTGGTCTGTGTTGCTCTGATCGAACAACAACAAAACAAAATAGCCATTGTGTAGCTAGGATGCGAATGAACAACTCAATTTCAACTGGCCCTTGCTGCACAACATCAATTTTGCATTTCATCCCGCGAGCCAATTGGGCTCTAGAGGGCTACATGAGACCAAGGTGTTCCAGGTTGAGGCAAGATGACATGCACTCCTACGTAGATTTTATACTGCTCGATGCTGGCCATGCTGCGCTCTAGGTATGCGCCTAGCCAGGAAACAGTTCACCCTATCTGCACGATGTGCATGGCTGGTGTTGGTTACGACGTTGTGCTGCATGTGAGGATGGGCGAGGAGGTGAGTTGAGGAAGCTGAGTGGAAAGAAGACTGTTGCGGGTGTTTGATTAAGTCCAGTTGATGAAATGGTGTTTGTGCAACGGCATACGAAGCACTGCAACCCGGAAAGTCTCCAGGTCGTGTGAGGGCAGAGTGTATAAACAAAGGCGCTGGAGTTTAGAGACTCTTGAAAGTTAGCCCGGTCACCCAACCGATCTGCCCAGTAAAAGGGATATATCTAGAGAAGCGAGTTACAAATAGTCGGGATGGATAAGTAGAAATTGACGGGTTGAGATTGATGAGAGATCGAGAGATTGCAAGGGACGGTTTCGACCAGAAGGAGTTCAAGATTGATCCCTGAATATCAAATCGCCTGCCAATGTTAAGCGAGCATTTGGCCCCACACTCTTTCTTCTCCTTCCCGTAAGGCACGGCTGTGCTGAGGTTGGGGGTGGCCCGGGCCAGCTTGGCCAGTTTGTCGCACAATGAGTGGCTGGAACGCACCTGTTCGCTGCTGACGATTGATCCACCTCACCTGGCCGACCCAATGTTCTCGCCCCCCTTCGACCATCACAACTGCCAGCGCTGGGCGAGGGCAGCACAACTTGCAACTTGTGCAGACCGTGTGGGTGCGTGTGTGGTCCCCCGTCAAACCGACCCGTTCCAGTTGTTGTGGTCTTCACCTCGCACCCACTGGAACTGCACCTGCAGCGGCCACTGGAAGGAAGGACCAGCGGGCGCCCCTGCACTGTGCGGATAGACGAGTCCTGCCTCCGTCGCTCCAGTCCAATTTCACGCTGACTTCATCTCCGACTTCAATTTCGTCCACAACTTGCCTTCTCACTTTCAGTTGTACGCTGTCGACCAAACTCCCTTCGCTTTTCCACTGCACTTCCCGATCCCTTTTTTGCCCTTCTTTTTTCCCCTTCTTTCCGTCCCCGTCCTATTCTCATCTCCCAGCCCACTGCCTCACTCCCGGCAACTCACACTCTCTTGCAGCGGCACACACGCAGAACGACACAGTTTCAAGTTCTTCCAACTTACTTTCCCCCGATTACGACCTGCCCAGCGCTCCCCCGTTGCTGTACCCCAGAATCCCCGTATCGGCCTTCCTCTACCTTTTTGGCTTTGGCTCCTTTTCGACCGACACCACTGCAACCCCCATCGAGCCTCTGCTCCGTCGCCGCCGCCGCCCCCTCTGTCCACTTCGTCATCATCTTCAATCGGTTTGCGACTTCCGGCAAGATATAGTTAAACGTTGCGGCTCGTTTGTCCAGAGTTTTTTATTATCTTCCCGCTCGCCCGCCCGCCATCCTTATTTCTCGGATTCGATCCCGGTAAACCCTTGTCTTTGAAGAAAGTCAATTGGGGACGTTCATCATCAAATTCCAGACGCAACTAAAAGGGGCCCACCAATCCGCTCTATCACTATTCAATCGAGACTCGGAAACGGCAACACCGTAACAGCACAATAACTCGATTCAATCACTTCTTTTCTTCTTCAGAACATCAGTCAAAATGCCTTGCGGACTCGGAGGTTCGAAAACTGTGCAGCGCAAGCTCGTCTTGCTGTGAGTTCACATACGCCCTTACCTTGTCCGTCCCGTGTCGGATTGATCGGCGCGACATAACAAATGCGTGGAGAGACTCCATGACTATGAGGTCAAATGCTGACTCGGCCTCTTGGCAACAGCGGCGATGGTGCTTGCGGAAAGACCTCACTACTGAACGTTTTCACAAGAGGGTATGTTTGCAATCGAACTGCCAATGCCAGGCAATCTTAGGATATGCGCTCAACCTCCCGTCCAGCTACTTCCCCACTGTATACGAGCCGACCGTCTTTGAGAACTATGTGCACGGTACGTTTACGCTACGTAATTGACCAGGCTGTCTGCCAATGCGATGCTAATGTTTCCCCAGACATCTTCGTCGATAACGTCCACATTGAACTGTCACTATGGGATACCGCCGGCCAGGAAGAATTCGATAGACTACGAAGTCTATCATACGGTAGGTTCTTGACATTTGCCCGTAGCTGCTAACTGTACTATTATACGAGCGATATCTGACTTCCGGTCTACTAGACGATACCGACCTGATTATGCTCTGCTACTCCGTCGACAGCAAGGACTCTCTCGAAAACGTCGAAAGCAAGTGGCAGGGCGAGATTGCGGAAAACTGCCCGGGCGTCAAGATTGTCTTGGTAGCGTTGAAGTGCGACCTTCGCGAGGCAACCGAAGATGAGGAGGATGGTGGAGCCGGCAACGAGGACGGCGCTCAGCGGGAGAAGAAGCCCATGATCAGCTACGACCAAGGCCTGGAAGTGGCCCGCCGGATCAAGGCCCTTCGATATCTTGAATGCTCCGCCATGCGCAACCGGGGAGTTAACGAAGCCTTCACCGAGGCGGCGCGTGTCGCTCTGTCAGTAAAGAAGGATCGCGAGGAGTCGAAGTGCGTGGTCATGTAAAGACGGCAGACCGAATAGCCCGGATATGGCCCCAGCATAGGCCGTCCTCTCGAGCCTCAATGCTACGCAAGATTGCGTCTCCATACGTAAGATCGACGCAAATGCGAGTACCACGAGCAAGCATGGGCAACCTCGTCTACGTCTCCCGACCAGCTCATTTACGCCATCGCCCAAGGACGCCTATACAACGCCGATACCGGACATCTCTGTCCTACGATGCACACGATTTCACATCCAGCAGTGGTTCCTTGTCAACAATTTGTTTTTCCGCCACCGGTTTTCGCTCTTGTCTTACTGCATCTTCTGGCCTCCTCTCTTTGAGTTATCAATATTAACTGTTTCTCGGTGTGTTGTTGGGGGGTGGCCGGTGGAAAATTTGGAGTTTACAACAACAAAGCTTTTTTTTTCCTATTTTTCGTTTCTGCATTGTACATAATTTGGTCCCTTTTTTGAATCTGCATATACGGAAGGACGGGCTAGTGGGGAAGGGCTCTGAAGACATGTCAAGATGGACGCAGAAACTCTTTCAACAAACGACATGGAGGGTTGAAGCGGCGATAAAGGGTTAGGCTGCAGGAGGGGAGTTTGTTTGACAGCGGACAATATAACTGTGTTCAACCGCTGATGTGTATCTGCTTATGCAGTCGATGAGAACTGGCTTTGGTGGTTTTGCTGATATAAGAGGTCTTTGCAATAACTGTGTTGGGCAATGCTGTTAGGATGGGGTGTTAGGCTTGATGGTCATGACAGAACGGTTCGCGATACCTTCGTGAGAAATGACCGTATGTATACCTACCTTCCTTGGTATCATCCCGCGAAAGTTGAAGGAGAGTTGCCAACCAGCTCCTGGCTGAGACCAAGTATCTCCGAATTCCCGTTGTACAAGTTGGTAGATGGCCATACACAATAGAACGCCTTCAACGAGATAGGATGTCAGATATCATCGTTATACTTGACTCGAGTATCTCCGGTCTTGTCCCGCGGACATGGACTTGGATGGGGGACTCTTATCAGTCTTACCGTCTGATAGTTCCGAGCAGCGATTATGCATCAAGGGGATGTTGGGGTTGCGGGATTGCGTGCTGCGTGTAGCATGGAGTCCCATTACCAATCGAAGTTGAAGCTGTAAATGCTCAATGTTATTGACTTGACAGGTGCTATAGTCTCTAAGGCTACTCTAAGCGCATTCTTCGCATCTGTTCGCTCCTTGCCTCCTTAAAAGCTGAATTAGAGCCTCTCTTTAGACGTCTGGACATTCTCAGAGTAAATGTGAGAAAGCTATGCTTTTGTGTGTAATCTTTCGAAATGCACATCGAGACATCTCATTCTATCTGTTAAGACACTATCGACCGACAGCCGACCCTGCGGTTCACGACCCCCGAACTGTTGTTGCGACTGCGGCCAAAGCGGGTCCCTCCAGAATGGCGTCAGCGGGCACTAAAAAGATTCTGCAACCCAAAACAGAACATCATCGAGTTTTATGCCTTCTGAGTGGCCAAATCTGCTTCTAATGGCGGTTCTGAGCTATGATTACCCCTGTACCGGTTTCTTTGTCGACTTACATCCCCATCTTCAGCGGAGTTGCTGGAACTTCTGCAAGCCCGCAGCCGACGCCTCAACGTGGGGAATGGGGAAAGAAAGAAGGTGACTCCCTCCTTGTGGTGGACAAGACGACATGACATGACAGGACAGGACATGACTACGACCGGCCGGCCGGAGTCCGGAGGTCAGAAAGAGTATATATGTAGTCTTCAGAAAGTTCCTGGAAGTTCGAGCTTCTACTTAGGAAACAACCTCTTCTAGCTCCCTCGATTTCAGAAACCCGAGTCATCTATCTGTTGCTTGGGGAATCTATACCTCGTCAACAATCATCCGATCTCTTTCTCTTTGATACCCTACCCTACAACAACACATTTACCTTACTTTGTCTTTGACAATCACTCAACTCTCATCGAGAGCAACTTCCAGTCAAACCATTCATACTCAAATCTGCAGAACTTGAGTCGTCCCGAGTTCTTTGCTAGGACCTCGATAAACGAGGCCATCAGAGGGTTCTTTTCAGAGAATCTCCCATATTAAAGCCTCAGCACACCCTTCTGCTAAAGGTGGCAAAGATGGCATCTCCAAATCTACCTACGGCTGCTTCAGTTTACCATACTACCCTCCTTACGGCACAAGATTGCCGGGAACATGTTCACCTCATCATCGGCTCCAATCCGCTGGCGGCATCCCGAGTCTCCCAGTCACTCAGCGTGGGCGCAAAACCCATTCTGATCGCTCCGGTTTCGGCCCCCTCACCAACAGAGTCGGCAGCGACCCCAACAACTACAGCAGAGTCAAAGCGGGAGCTACACCACACCCTAGTCAACTACATCTCTTCCGGCGCCCTAACACACCTGGATCGGTCTTTCGCCGATGAGGACCTCTTCACGCTCGGCCGGTCCGAGGTGGACAACGTCGTGGACGCCGTTTTTGTGACACAACACAACCAATCGCTGGCCGAGCGGGTATCAGCTCTCTGCAAGCGCAAGCGCATTCCTGTTAACGTGATTGATAACCCGGCGCTGTGCTCTTTCAGCTTGCTGAGTGTACACGTTGATGGACCGCTGCAGATTGGCGTGACAACCAATGGCCGGGGCTGCAAGCTGGCTAGTCGTATCAGGAGAGAGGTGGCTTCGGCGCTGCCCAAGGGATTGGGAGCCGCGTGTGCCCGACTTGGAGACGTGAGAAGGAGGATCATCACCGAGGACGCAGAGGCTAGGACTGCGGCAGAAAGCGCCATTGCTGCCGCGGTGAACGAGGGCGTCGACGACTCTATCGATCAGTCGGCGACGTTTAACAAACTTGTCACGGAGCTGGACGTGCAAGCCGAGGCCGCGAAGACGCGCCGTATGCGGTGGTTGGCGCAGGTGTGCGAGTATTGGCCGCTGAAGAAGCTGGTGGAGATCACCGACGATGACGTGGAGAGCATCCTCCAGGCATATCCCGGGTTCAGCGGCGACAACTCCTCGGCATCACCAGTACAACCCGTTTCCCCGGGCGCCGTCAGCGAGGGCGGCAGCACCACCAGCAATGGCCGTCTCGGACGCATCTTCCTCGCCGGCAGCGGTCCGGGCCACCCGGATCTTCTCACCCGGGCCACCTACAAGGCCATCCAATCAGCCGACCTGATTCTCGCCGACAAGCTGGTTCCCTCCGGTGTTCTGGATATGATCCCGCGTCGGACGCCCGTTTCGATCGCGCGCAAGTTCCCTGGAAACGCCGATCGTGCGCAGGAGGAGCTGCTCGAGCAGGCTCTGGAGGGTGTTCGTGCGGGTAAGACGGTGTTACGGCTTAAGCAGGGCGATCCGTTCATCTACGGACGCGGCGGCGAGGAGGTGGCCTTCTTCCGGGAGCACGGGCTCGGCGATCGTGTCGTGGTGTTGCCGGGCATCACGAGCAGCTTGAGCGCGCCACTGTTTGCGGGTATTCCTGCCACCCAGCGCGATGTTTCGGACCAGGTGCTCATCTGCACTGGAACGGGCAAGAAGGGCAAGCCGCCTGTGCCGCCCGAGTATGTCGGCAGTCGTACGGTCGTGTTCTTGATGGCGCTGCACCGTATCGGAGGATTGGTCAGGGAGTTGACGACGCGTCTCGAGGAGGTCGACGGGGTCGCGGAAGTTTCGGAAGGCGAGAAGCAACGGGCTCTGTGGCCGCTTGACACACCGTGTGCTGTTATCGAGAGAGCCACTTGCCCTGACCAGCGAGTGATCCGGACAACGCTCCGGTACGTTGAGCAGGCCATCGAGCAGGAAGGAAGCCGCCCACCTGGGCTTTTGGTTGTCGGTCGCGCCTGCGAGGTTCTGTACACGCCGAAGAAGGAAGGCCAACTCTGGGTCGTGGAGGATGGCCAGTTTAAGGACTTGGATTTCGAGGATTCTTTGGGTCTTTCGCTCAACGCCACTTCGGGCGTTGCGCGCACTGGATCAGCATGATAATTTCTGCCTGAAGACGCAGTTTTCTGCGATTCTTGTCATTTAGTTTACTGATATCCCTCTTTTTCTTTTTGTTTCTTTTTATTTATCGCCAGCCACCAATATTACCGTGCTCCCGAACAGCCATCTTTCCTAATGAGGCACTCCGTACGATGGTTCTTGCCAATAGCTGCGCATCATCTTGCGTGTGGGTTGTCACAGCTGCCAACCGATCCCTTACTCTTTCCAGCCCAGTCGAGCGGGTTGCAGATCATCGTCCTCAGTTGTTTTCTTCTCCAAGAGATGTGGAAGTCGCGTGGGATGTTCTGCAGATGGGGCCAAAACTAGGTGCTCGTTGTGGGCGCCCTCACGACCTGATGCTGTTCAGCTCAGGCCGAATCGGGAAACATTGGTGCGTCGTGCTTGCAACCTCAATCAACAATGCTGTCATATCGGTTGCATTTGAGGTTGTCAACAACAGCTGAACTACTGGAATATCGCATTCTGGACCACCCTCACTTTCTTTGAGGAGGGTAACTGCTTTCCAACCATAAAACGCCCAACGGTCGGCCCTTCCTATAGCTGGGTCTAGTGTTGGTGCGTATCGACGTAGGTATACGGAGTCGAGTGAGTTAAAAACACAGCGACTCAAGTAAACTTACAAGCAAACAAATGGAAAGATTGGGCCTCGCTAATCTCCACAATAGCACCCCGCCTCAATGCATACCATTCCTTCTTCTTTGCAGTCAATTATATCACTTGCCACCAACCGAACCCTTTGATGGAGAAAGTGCACTTTGTTGCCTAGTTTCCACGCAAGAAACTGTTATGCTCCAAAGCCGTCGGGCTCCTCCGTGGACACTTCGCTTGTCTGCGCCCGTCCTGGAGACCATCTGACGTCTCATCGTACAAGCGGAAGGTTTTCGGTCTTTGCGGCAAGGCGTTTTACATGGCTGTCAAGGGCAATGAACAAGCAATTCACACTATGGCGTCGACTTCTGGTGGTAGGGGCTGACTCTCTAAGTGAGCACTGCCATGGAACAATCGTCTTGTCTCCCAGGTTTGTTGCCGGCCTGTCCATCTGTTACAAATCATACAGAATTACTACCGTCGAATCGCACATCATTTTTCAATAGTGAGGCTTTCTTGCCAAACCATGGGGACCCCATCAGGCGGTGAAAGAAACACGAGAAGTGGATATCTCGGCGTTCGCCTCATTCGAGTAGTCATCTACTATCACTAATATCGTCCTGCCTGTTGGCTAGCTTCGTTGCCTCGCTGACTTTTGACCTTCTCGGTGATAGATATTGACCAGTCGGCAACTTATCAACCACTACATTCCTTTCTTCCTCATATAGCGGTTGTGATACTCTTGCCCTAAGCTTATCGGCCCATGTTTGAAATGAAATTCGTCACTTTGGGCCAAGACATAGGTGAGACATGTTGCTGACAGTCTATGTTCTCACCGAAAAACCAGGTTTGGTTGTTGCCGAGCCTATGAAGAGCTGTAGTTGCTATTCTCAACACAATCCCCGACAGGATGCTTCAACCCAGACGATGGTTTCGACGTCAGCAAGCGACACGAACTCGATAGGCATTTTGAACTAATCATTTTACTCATAATCCGTATCTCACCAAGCGATAATTGTTTATCTTGTGCAAACAAGCCTTGGTGACCAACCGTCACCGGCTCTCCAGGATACTAGCGACCTGTTTTCTACGCAACACACATGTTAACACGCCGCTCATTATTGCTCCTTTATTGTTTTCCGGCACAACTTGGACGTGGTAAGGGGCTACTCAAGGACGACACCAACTCATTAACCAAACAACATGGTCACTATGAGCCTCAGACGGGTTCCTGATTGCGACTTTCATTCCCTGGGTGTATCGCCGAATGAGACAAGGAGCACGAAAGCGGTAGGTTCCTGGAACCAAATGTAGGAAGTACATTCCGGGTACTTCTCTCGCCCGCTCAGCCCTACTATTCCTACATCTTGTGTGATACAGCTATGTCAACCAGCTGTGGCAGTCAGACCTGGGCCGGAACTTGGTCCGCCAGAGCCGTTCGTAAATCTGAGCTGGGACGGGAGAGAAAAGAAAAGTGGCAGTTGTACCCGTATTCGAGAGGCTTACGCCACTTTACTTGTATCCTCAAACCCCGCTATGCTTGTGGGAAATTTGTTCAGCATGTTCTTCGTTGTTCTTCAACCAAATTGGATACTCAAAGGTACGAAATACAGGGCTCAGAAGTTCCTTATTCAACGCCCTGGATGTGGGATCACTGACGGAGACAAAGGAATTCATGTGCTATCCGCTCACTATTCAACAACTAGGCCACCACCGTCGGTTGAACAGTCATGAATGCTATTCAGGTTCATTCGCTGTATAGGAGTTCAGCATGGGGATCGTGGCGTGAAAACAGTGATCGAACGCATCCATCGCGGGTCACCAACATGTTTCAACGTTGGATCCCATTCTGGGTAAGTTGAAATGCGGCAACATCAGTTTTCCGTCACGGACACTCATCAAATATTGACCCTTCAACAGATATGTCACTCTAGCGGATGCCTTGCCTGCCTTCACACCTTGCAGGTCAAGAGCTCGACCACTCAAAACCAGAAGCGAGTACATTCTATGGCACGATGAAACGGACGGTCCTCGTTAGACTCACAAGGTATACTGTACTTTGATCTTACTCCATCCCGAAAATTCCTTCATCCCTCAACGTAACCTTCGGGCAGCCAGTCAACACCCGTCAGTGGCGTTATCGAAGACCTGTGGAAGCCAGACTTTGTAGGGAGCATGCCATCTAGCTGGCATGTCAGATACTCGCATTTTCCCAACAAGATTTCTTTTGTGGAACAATCGACTAAAGCGCTGCCATCTGCATAGTGTTCCCCAATCTTTTTCTCTACATCACAGGGGAATCTTATTATTATTATAGGCCCATTCCTGGCATCCAACAATTTGCCCTCCAATGTTCTCCGTCTTCTTTAATCTGCACTGAAAGGCACCAGCAACGAGGGGCCCTACTTATTTGCAATCCCAAACTAAGACGTGCTCATACATCGGCATCTATGCTCTCGAAGCAATATGTCAACTTCTTTGCAAGGTTCATTCGCTACATGCACCACCTTACCCGTGGTCACTGATGACCAAGACACTCCTGAGCATACTCACGCTGCTCCATCCGAAATCACATTGCTCCAAGAGGCACAAGTAACGCCTTATGCAGAAAGAGATGGAGAGAGTAATGGGTTATCCCAGGCATCCGATTCCTCAAATACTGCTGGAAGGGAGACTCCAAGGCCAGTGCACACGTTTTTCTATTTTACCTGGATGGAAGTTGCTAATATCTTGGTGCAGTCTCTCCATTACATCCAGCATGTCGCCGAACGCATCAGCCTCTGGAGGTACTCCGATGAATAACTTGATCGAGTCCATAAAAAGAGCTGCGAGAACAGCCTCATACGTTAACGAGTCCCATTCCTGGTACTCCCGCCTCCGTCCAGTCGAACCAAATGATGGGAATGGTACTACCCACGGACCGCAAGAAGTGGCAACACGACTCACTCCTATCTCAGCGTCACTGCAAGGGTTGTCTCCCCAATGTGATGATACTAAAACTGGATCATCCGTTACATACCCTGCTCAGATAACCCAGAGTACGGGCATGCTGGTTGACGAGACGCCCGAAGATGATGGAGTATGCTTAGATGTGCCCATCCCACCCTTCGTTATGTTCTGATATTGGTAGAAGATGCTATCGTGAAGAGAAGTTTGTTGGGCTACCTTACCCTTTGGGCACTCAGCTGCGGGACAATAGCAGATAACAGTGAAAGACATATAGGAATCTTGGAGAGAGATATGGAAAGTACTAAGCATTTCATTTAATAGACCGGGAATCTGAACGTCTTTAATCTCAAGAGTACCACATCTTGTCATGTGATGTGTCCATTTTTGCCTTCCCGTGATGTCCTAGTGAAGTGTGCTGAATGCCTCTTTCGATGCGTCGCCGCAAGTCCTTGGACTGCTTGCTCACGTTCGTTGTCTAAATCGGCCCCATGCATTTGGTCATCGATTGTTTGCGCCATCCCCCGCTTCCGCGGCAACCAACTTTCGAGGTCGAATATCCGATTCTGAAAGAAGAAACCTCGAGAAGCCAAGCCGCATGACCTGTGACCTTCCCGTTACCTTGCCTTTGTTTGGTACCGCGCGCCACACCGTCGCTGGAACCTTACAAAAACAATTAACCCCGAGCCCGTACCACCATTATCGCACAGCCTCCATCCAAACCTTTGACTCACCTCGCCGAATAACATTCCGTCATCAACTTCACATCGCAACCCGAGTCAGGTTCATTTTCTCTTCCTTTACCAGTTAATACTAGTTTTCCAGTTGCAGGAGGTTTTAAAACCCTGGTCTGAAGCAGCATTTATCCTCCGACCTTTTTTCAGCTACAAATAAATCAACACGCGCGCGGGTAGCTTCTTTCCTCGCACCACGAAATTTCACAACACCTTTTGCCCCGCGCAAAACATTGAGGCGTGCAAAAAGAAGACAAATTCAACCACCTCCCGGAATTTTTCTTCTTCCTTTCAAACAATTTCCAGCACCGACTGAGTAAACCACCCTCAGTCAGATCTCGCATCTACTGCGAACACAATCACAATCCATCCCACCTGCGACAGCGGCGACCAGATACATGTATCATGGCGCAACCATCTAGCAATCCCACTTGTTCTGGGACAGCAAATATCATCTTGCGTTCAAGCGAAGATGATCCGGAACACATGTTACCCCACCAGCGAAAGGCAGCCATGAAGAAGCCAAAGGCGACGCGATCGGTCCTCCACATTGATGGCAGAACAGGCGAAGGAGGTGGACAGCTGATCCGCATAGCATGCGCGATCGCTTCTGTTATTACCCAGCCTATTCGCATCACGAACGTGAGGGGAAACCGCGATCGCGGCGGAGGTTCGTAATTTCCTCTTGCTCCTTCCCTCCTGCTCTTTCCCGCGCCTTCCATTTGTGAGGCGCAGTCCAGAGCAAGTTCACCTGTGGCCCAGCTCGCCAAGCAGTCTTTGAAACGCAGCAACCACCCGTTTCTTCGGACAATAACTGACAAAGATAACAGGACTCAAAGCTCAACACGTAGCTTCCATCGAATGGCTCGCCAAGGTAACCGATGCTGAAGTTAATGGCCTTACCGTCGGTAGCACCACCCTCGAGTTTAAGCCGCGGGAAACTCCCGCCACTTCCAAGCTCTTCACCGGAATTCACGATCGCACCGTCAAGATTGCTGCCGATTCCGCCGCGGCAAGCACCTTGCTTATTTTCCAAGCAATTTTCCCCTTCCTCCTCTTTGCCGGCGGAAATACGGGCAAGAGACAAGACCACCCGGAGCACATCGACGTCGAAATTTCGGGCGGCACCAATGTCTCCTTTTCTCTCTCTTACGAATACCTGGACCAAGTCCTCCTACCAAGCCTCGAGCAAGCATTTGGCATTGTCGTCGAGCGCAAGCTCAGGACACGCGGCTGGAACCTCGGAAAGATGCAGCGCGGCACTGTGGCCTTCCGCATTCACCCCATTCGAGTCGGCGATTCACTGCGCCTCCGGAACCCGACAGCCTGCACCATGAAGGGCAGAAACAGAAAAGGCGAGGATTTCGATCTTGAAGCCATCGATGTCTCCATCATTGCGCCGACAGACATGCACGAGTCTCTCTCCCAAGCGCTGGTCCAAAACCTAGGCGACCTTTTCCCCGACGTGGAAGTCATTTTCAAGCCGATGGAGGACAGCGGGGCCAACACGCGCATCTACGTTCTTCTAGTCGCGCGCTCGTGGCCATCCGATGTCGAAGGAGAAGCCGGCGCTGGCGCCGTGTTGAGATGGGGTAGGGACATCCTTACTTCGATGCCCAAAGCAGCCAACTCAAAGAAAGGCAAGAACAAGGGTGACAGCAACGGCTCGTCATCGCATGCAGGCACCGGAGGGTGGCATCCATGAGCGAGAGCGTGGCCACTAAGGTTGCAAGAGCTCTGTACGACGAGGTTTCTACCGGCGGCGTGGTAGACGAGTTCCTTCAGGACCAGCTGGTCATCTTCCAGGCACTGGCGAGTGGGCTTTCGGCCTTCCCTCGTGGCAATAGCGATCCGGCCGACGATAATGTCTCGGGACCGGGCATCGAGGCGGCCATGGCGGCACTGGACCTCACTGACAAGAATGCCACGCAAGGGCTCCGGAAGGATAAGACCGCCGAGCCGTTTGGCGAAGGCACTCTCCACGCGAAGACGGCACGCTGGATGGTCAGCGAGCTTTTGCCCAACGTCAAGTTCTACAACAAGGGCAAGGTCTGCGAGGGCGTCGGCTTCGCCGTTGAGAAACCTTAAATTTGGGGGCCTAGTCATACACCTTGTTTGGCCTGAGTATCGTGGCCTGAAGCGGTCAGTCGATAGCTTTCTCTCTGCGAGGATGTGGCAAATCCGACACGATAACCACGACACTCAGCACAACGATAGGCATCACCACTATTCAGGAGGCAGAAGGCGTTTCCACTCGACGGATCATAACAGTCTGGCAACCAGACAATAGGCCAAGTAGCAGAATCCAACTTGCTTGCTGAAATATTACCAGGCACCGACCCTGATATGCCATTCAGGCACATGTATCGCATTCCTGATGTGGATTCTTTTCCCCTTCTCGTTTGACGTATTTGCTTTTTTTTTTTTTTTTTGCTTTTTCGAAGCAAAAGTGCACTTCTATCACTGGTCTTGCCTCAAACGCTCACACTTTCCGCCATTCAAGTACTCTCCTCAAAGAATTTCGCTTGGGAGTTTTTGTTCCTCCAAGTTAGTTGCTTAAAGGAACCTCCAGCACTTTCACAAAGGTTGTCTTCAAGTGAACATTCTCTTGATCGGGTTGGTTCTTTGCTCAAATTGGCAGAGAACTCATTCAACACCACGAAAAGATAGGTTCAGAGAGGATCACGGTCTAACTTCCAACCAGAGCGGCAGCACATGCAAGGTTTTGTGCTTGAATGACCGCTATCAATATATCTTTTGACTCCAAGTCGCCCTTTTTCAGTTCATTACGGCCTCAGTGTGATGTGACTTTTGGACGCCGGCAGCTAAATGACCAAATTTGACTTCATAATGGTATCGTGCTTTTTTGCGAGACCGAAGAGATTTACCTGTACTTCTCATACAGCTTAATCTCCTCCTGTCTCTTCGCCACCTTCTCAATAATCTCAGCATCGTAGAGCTCCTCGAGCGTCTTCTCGCCCAGCAACACCTCCTTCTGGTGTCTCGTCGCCTCGTCCTTGGTCATGCAGACCAGCTCGGACAGCTTCAGATCCGACGACTTCTGCTCGTCCGCACCCTCGCCTATCCTGATGAGGATGTCCCGGGTAGGCTTTTGCCACCTGATCAGGACGAGCTTGGTGGGGATGCCGGTGATGGCGCTCTTGGCCTTGTAAATATCTTCAACGAGGAATGAGACCTCGCCCTGCTGAATGGGCACCTTTAGGCCGATGCAGATCTCGCGGGGGCCGCTGGTCACGGTGCGGATCATCTTTTCCTCGCTGGCCTGGACGAAAGCTTGGATGGCGTCGTACATCTTGTCGCGACCCTTTTGGGGGATGTAATCGAGGGGATAACCTGACAGGAGGAAAGTTGGTAAGTCACAGGGAAATTCAGCACAAAGGGACAGCTTAGTCGACTTACCAGAGATCTTGAGAATGACATGGTTCGCAACGGTATATCCAAAAACAGCCGGCATGGTTCCCAACACAGGCAGGATACGCACGCGGAAATCCGGCAGCGCCGCCAAGTCGCCTACATCACCCTTCTTGAACTCGTCCTCGGGCAGCGGCAAAAGGGCCGCCTTACCCTCGCCCATCTTTTCCGTCGAGTACACCACGGGAATACCGCTGGTAACACCGAGCAGCTTCAAACGACGCCTGGTAGCGCGCGAAAGACCGTCGTCCGTGCTGGTGCCAATGTCACCGACCATGATCCTCGTGGGATCACTCTTGGTGCCGGCACCCATAGATGAGATAACGGGAAGGTTGTTGTCGTAGCAGTACTTGAGCAGCTCCACCTTGGAGTCGATGTTATCAATGGCGTCAATGACGAAGTCAGGCATTTGCCCATCCTTCTCCCATGCACCGAGCAACTCCGGAGCGACGCTCCCGTCGAACTTTTGCAGGCGCAGGTCGAACCGCACCCACGGTGTGATGGCGATCAGCCGGCGCTGCAGGCATTGCACCTTGGGCAGGCCGACGTCGGCGAGCGTGGCCACGGCGTGGCGGTTCAGAGAAGAGAGAGTGACCTGGTCAAAGTCGATCAGGCGCAGCTTGGAAACACCAGAGCGGGCGAGCGTGGTGGCGGCGTGCGAACCGACGCCGCCACAGCCGACGATAACGACGAAGGAGTTGCGCAACTTGGCGAGCCCTTCGTCTCCTAAGAAGACGCGGTTGCGCGCGAGTTGCTCGAGAATCAGTTCGTCGTCAAAGTCGCCGTTTTGCGCCCGGTGGGCGAGCGCTTGGTTGTGTTCATCTTCGCGGTCGAGCTTAGGGACGGGGCCTTGGCGGGTTACCTGGACGACGAAGAAGAATGTACCGTTAGGCTATGCGTTCCATTGGTTCTGCGAAGATCGTTGAGAATATGGGGAAACAAGCTTGCCTTCTGCAATTCGGGCTCAGCATCGCCAGCTGGGTTGGGAATGGACTTCTTCAGGCGATTGAGGCGCTCGCCATGGCGGGATTGCTGATAGCCGTAGATTGTGCCAGCAGTAACAGCCGCAGAGGCGAGAGCGACTGTCGCAAGCTGGAGCTTCGATTGATTTGTTGAGTTGGACAGGAAGGACGACATGTTGGGCTACGAGTGTCTCATCGGTTCGAGACTCGGATTATCGGTATATCGTGAGCCGATCAACAGCTCGAGTGCTTTGGGATGATTGAGGCCGTTCCCCATCGTTCTCGTGACCTTATCGCGCCATATTTCCCCAGAAAATTTGGAGCCCCAGATTTGGACGACGTCATCCCAATTCTGCAATGCCAAGCGCCAAGCGCAAGGGAAAGCGGAAAATCCCGTCGTGCCTGCCGTGAACAGTCAGGGGCGGGCCGCCCGAGGCCATCGAGGTTCTTGCTCTTGTCTTGGCATCTTCAACCCCACTTCGACCATTTCCCGTTGTCGTGGAGACGTTGTTCGCGGACAACAACATCACCATCTCCGTTGCTCTCGGGGAGCTCCACAATTCCGAATGCGAATACGGATAAGAAACCCTTATCACTTACACAATTGCTCCATGAAGCTCGGTTTCGGTTTCCTCACGTCGTGATGAAGTGGACAACACCAGGAGTAGTCGGTCTGTGGTAACCCCAAATAAACCGATCATCATCTGCTGTGCCACGGTCCAGACTCACATTCTCACCTCCATTTGACACGAGGACGGCCGCTCGAAGCGGAGAGAGTAACATTTTCGAGAAATGGACGGCCAGCTCGACGATTCTTATTGGGGCTCGGTGAGCCACCGCCCACCATGAAACAATTCTGCTCTTAAACTCAAGAGCTAGCAGCTACAGCATTATCATGTAACCCTGATCGTATTCGCTCATCATTCGAGATCCACCATCCACAATTGCTAAACCCACGGACCCGGCATGTTGGGAAATCCGGTGGGTGGGTTTACACGGCATCGGTGTGGTATATTGCCACCTCTGCCTCTGGTATAAGGATGCTGTGATGTCCTCCTCCAGCTTGTCTGTCTGTCTTTCGTATCATTAACTCCTTTCTTCTAGCCATCTCCGCCTTTATACATCACAGGTTAGTAACTACTCAGATTGTCTCCATCATTTACCAAGACTAACTTTCTTCATAGTTCCTAATTCATCACTCCCAACAAGATGGCATCCGCTCAAGGCAAGACTGTTCTCGTTACCGGCGCCGCCGGTGGTCTCGGCAAGGTGATTGCTGAGACCTTCCTCGCCGCTGGTGCCAACGTTGTCATCTGCGATGTCAACGAGCAGCGTATCTCGACTGTTGAGGAGGAGTGGACCAAGACCTACGCCGACCGCTTCCTCACCAAGCAAACCGACGTGTCCAACGAGGCTGCCGTCCAGGAGCTCGTCGACGCTTCCGTCGCCAAGTTCGGCCGCCTCGACGTCCTCGTCAACAACGCCGCCATCATGGACGACTTCTCTCCAGCTGGCGACTGCTCTAAGGAGCTCTGGGACCGCGTCCTGGGCATCAACCTCACTGGCCCCTTCCTCACCACCAAGGCGGCCGTGAAGCAGTTCGAGAAGCAGGGGCAACCTGGTGGCGTCATCGTCAACATCGGCTCCAACGCCGGCTACATGGGCTTCGAGGCCGGCGTCGCCTACACCGCTTCCAAGCACGGCGTCATGGCGCTGACCAAGAACACGGCCGGCTTCTACGCCGACAAGGGCATCTACTGCATGGCTCTGCTGTTGGGCGGCCTGGCCGGCACCAACATTGTCGATTCCTTTGCCAAGGGCATGCACATGGAGATGTACCAGAAGGTCATGGCTAGCGGCTCGCCATTTGTGCCCGGCAAGAACGATACCCCTCTGGAATCCATTGCCAAGTACTGCCTGTTCCTGTCGCAGAGCGATATTGCGCCCGTGTCGAACGGTTCTTGCATCGTTTTCAACAGGAATTGGCCTGTGGCGTAAGGGGTTTGTGGAGGTTGTTGGAGGAGAGTTCACAAGAGATGGTAGAGGGAATCAAGTACCATAGCTCAAGGCCACAATGAAAGGTCTCAAATACAATACCCAGAAGCGACACAAACCAGCCGGTGCCTTCCTTCCTGCTACTTGCTTGAGTGTATTGCCCTTTCCTGCTTTTTTTTTTCCTCGGTCGTCGGTCTCATCCGAAGTCTGTCTTTTTTCCGTGCAACCAACCGTACGTGCAACGCTCCTTCCTTCCCTCGGAGTGGAGATCGCCAACCCTCACTCGCCTAGGCCGAGTTGTCAGGATCTCTTCGGGATAAGTATCACGATTTCCGTCGAGCCCAAGTCTGGGATTCGAATATCGACAACTTGCCCCTCCCTCCAGGACAAATTAACGTGGACTTCAGCCCGGCCTGATCACCAAGACGGTTTCCATTCGTCTTATTACTTTTCTTCTTCTAATTCGTCCTCAAGGCCATTCCTAAGTCCCAAAAGGCGTTTACAGCTTGACAGACTCTTGGGTGTCCTATCGATTTGTCCTTATTATCGGGCTCTGGAGTACGCGTTAATTTGTCCTGGACGAGCCCCCATATTCGATTACGAGGAGGATAGTAGTAGTTTTCTGCTACTTTGAATCTTGATTCAATCATTTCTTCTTTTTTTCCCTGTGTGTTTTTTCTTCTTCATCATCTCGTCTATCACAGCCGCCTTCAACAGCGATCATTTCACATGGATGTATTTGCAGCAAATTGGTTACAAAGCCTGAGCTCCTTTCACATACGAGGAAAATATGAAATTATGAACAATCAGAAAGGAACGAATGAACCAGGAAGTATTTACAAGTCCTCCAAACCCTGAAATTCCTGATGCGCATCGATAACCCCCTTCCTCCTCCTCAAGTACAACTCAGATCAGATCAAAGGAGTGTCGTTGGAAACAGGAAACCCGAACTCAGACGACTGGAGCCCAACTGCTCTCATTCTCAATGTTGTCTCCAGTCACAACTCCATGTCCACGGACTGCATCCCCCTCTTTACCACTTAGCAGGGATGCAATAAGGGCTTCCGTTGGCTTCCAAGAACTGGCAGGAGGTCTTAGGAGGGCAATCTCCAGCATACTATTTTGCCCGTGTCAGCCAGTTTCCTGTGTTTACAAGGAAGAGAATGAAACGAGAAGTTTAACTTACCACCCACTTGCTGGTGACATCGCAGACCTGCCATCCCTCGGCGTGGGTGCTGGGGTTCTTGGCGCACGCGTAGGTGGCCGGCTTGCACTGAGGAGGGTTGGTGCCGGTGGGAGTGGCGACGGCCACGGCGGTGAGGGTGAGGACGGCGGTGATCAACTTCATTTTGATGTGTTGGTGTTATTTGTTTGTTTGAAGGGGAGTTTGAGCTGTTAATTTGCTTGTTGCTGGAGATTGTTTGTCGGGTCGGGCTTTGATGACTGGATGGATGATTGTGATGATGAAAGGGAGATTGGTAGGATGGGAGGAGGCAGACGAAGAGTTTAAATACCCCTCCCTCGATCAGTTCAAGTTGAGTTGTTGGTGAGAAGTTTCTGGGTTTCTCGTCTTTGCGGCTCGGCTCTTCGTGTTGAATGAAGCTTACAAAGGTTACGAAGGCAAAAGCGAGGATGTAACGACAAACACGCGGCTACAACCTCATCCTACAACTACGTACCCATCCTGCCATCCTTGACACGACACCAAGCCCCGACTCCCGATGACGTCCCGCTCCCGCTCCAACACTTTCTCTTTCCGGTCCTCCTTCATCGACTCTATTTCCATCTCTCCCTCGTACTCAAACCGAGTATGAGAAGGTTGATGGCGGCGAAAGACGGACGAACAACCCTCCATAAAGAGACAACATGACCACAATCTTACGAGAGAACTTTCTACCCTTGGGAACTCTAATTAAGTGTGGCTTGGAGGCCAATGAACACTAATTGAATAATATGTCTTCCATCATTTCTTTCACTTCCCTTCTCGTGTTACGACCAAACGAGGCTCGTCGCAGTAAATATTCTTACCTTCTTACGTACAATGGCGCAGGAAGGAGCACAGCAATATCACTCACTCACTCACTGCTACTGGAATGACTTAAGCTTCAGGCCACCTATGCTAGGAAAACGGAAGTGATGCAAAAGACTTTACGCCAACCGGGCCGACGACGATACATGTTTCCTTCGCCTACTTGGGTAAGAAGGAAGAGTCTGGAATGAAACACGAAAGACTAACGTGACAGATACCTATCTTACCCACTGTCGTCCGTATAATATACCTTACAGTCTCGAAGACCAATCAAAACGACCTCATTCTGAACCGGCCTACCTGTATACCCATCCAACGGTTGCTTAAATCTTCTAACTCAAGTCACCTTATCCATCCATCCAGCCAGTCATACAAGCAAGACACAGACAGACCTGCCTCATCGTGTTTCCCAATCCGGGGTACATACGTTAGTTGCCGTAAATGCCGTAGTAAGGCTGGTGTTCGTGATTATCTTGGTGGCGTGGTATGCTGACCTGTTATGGTAGGTGCTGCTGCTCCCTTGTATTACCTGAATAGGAATATCTCCGAAACTACGAGGCTCGGCCAGCCATGGCAGGGGTTGTGATATGTTGATGCTTGTAGGCGATCGGTTGCTTCTCCTTCGCTAGAGTACAGCTACTTTGATACTAGAGTAGAGCGTGGCGAAGACTTCGGGATGATATGTCGAGAAGGCGAAAAAGGTAGAGCAGGTGGGTAGATATTGTTAATGGAGATTGGTCGGCATTAAATGGCAATTTTGGGTGTTCCTGGGGACTTAGGCTGGTGTTGGTAAATTGGGTGACTATTAGCTGCTAGTTCAGATTCGGAAGAGAAGGGACGACGTTCAAGTTTGGACGAAGATGTCAGAACATAAGCTTTCATTTGTGGTAAGCTTCCTTTCCACACACCACACCACACCAGTTTCCCCGCAAAAAAGCCTCCAAGCCAGCTTACTCCATTGCGGTTCAGCCGCAGCCACCTACTCCGGCAACCCAACGCAATCCGTTGAATGGTTGTGGAGTGACAACCATCAGATCTCGGGTTGGTATTTGGGGAAGGAACGGATAACTAAAAATACGCAAGTGGCTTCCTCTACCGACAACCGAGGGATGTTACCGATAGCCGTTCCTTCCACTTCTGTAAGTATTGTTTGAATACGATAATTGCGGCACACCACCAGTAATCGTCTTTGCTGTTAGGTTGTGAGCAGGTGATGAATCCCGTTTCGATTGAGAGGGTTGCGGTAACCAGACAAAGTCTACTACATCTCGTCAAATGGGTTTAGTATCTCGTCAAATGGGTTTATGGATGCATGGTCAAGGATAACATGCTAAGCTGATTATACCGAAGAGAGGCTTTCGCCGACCCTAAACTCCCACCGAAAGCTCTGTACACATAAAGAAGGTAAAAAGAAAAGTTCCCTCTGCATATTCAATTAGATTCAATTAAGCCACGCTATACAACGTTTCACCTCTCTCCACATGACAAATGCCACAAGAAACCCACTGACCAACGCCACAATGCTCCCCAGACACTCATCCGCCAAACAACCACAACCACTTCCTCCCTCACCAAACTCACTTCACCCCTTATTCTCAGCAATCAACGTCTTGGCCAGATCCCTCAGTTTAAACTTCTGAATCTTCCCACTCGCTGTCTTCGGATACTCGTCCACCCAAAACACGTGCTTAGGCACGAGATGCTTCGACAGGTGCTCAGCAACCCACTCCCTGACCGCGCGTCTGCTCAGCGTCTTCTTGCCCTCACTGCGTCCCTTCGCCGTGCTCTCCAGGCTCAACATATCCCCTTCCTCCAACCCCTCGCCCTCGACGGGCTCGACGTCCTTGTGCACAATGATGAAGGCTCCCACGCTCTCGCCCAGCTTCTCGTCCGTCACGCCGACGACGCTAGCCTCAGCAATCAGCGGGTGCTGGAACAGACAGTTTTCGATCTCAAGCGGGTGGATGTTCTCGCCGCCGCGAATGATCAGATCCTTGATGCGGCCCGTGATCTCGACGTAACCATCGGCGTCCATGCTGGCCTCGTCGCCCGTGTACATCCATGTTGTGTTATTGCCGGTCCCGTCGTTGTCGGGCTCGGTGATCATCACTTCGGCTGTCCGCTCTTCGTCGCCCCAGTAGCCCTTCATGACTAGGTATCCTGCTGAAGCGAGCTCGCCGCGCTCGCCCACAGGCAGGACTCGTGTCTTGTCCAGAGGGTCGACGACCTTGACTTTGGTGTGTGGCATCACCTTGCCAACGGAAGCGGTGCGCTTCACGAACGGGTCTGAGGGCGCGGTCATGAGGCTCACGGGACTAGTCTCCGTCATGCCGTAGCAGATAACCAAGTCCTTGAGACCGATCTTCGCGTAAAGCCTGCGCATCAGACTCTCGGGCACGGAGCTGCCGGCTGCAATGCCCTTGCGCAGATGGTTGGGAAAGTCCTCGATGTCCTTGAGTGGTATGAGCGGGTTGGACAGATGTGACTGCGCTCCGATCAGCTCGAGCATGGCCACGAACATGGTGGCCACACCGTAGAGACCGGTGGCCTTGTGGTCGGCGGCCATGCGCAGCGAGGCTAGCGGGTCAAAGGCTGGGCTGGGGAAGAGGATGGCGGCGCCCGTGGTGGCGGTGGCCATGTAACCTAGAATGCACCCAAAGCAGTGGAAGAGCGGAGGAGGCACTACCATGCAGTCGGTGGGCTCGAGACCCATGCGATTGGCGATCAGCGCGCCGTTATTGAGGATGCCGGTGTGAGTAAGCATGGCGGCCTTTGGATGCGAGGTTGTGCCGGAGGTGAATTGAATGTTGATAGTCTCGGAAGGACAGAGTGGCGCGTCAGGGGTTACCGATGCGCCAGAGCCGTCCATAAGGATCGAGAAGGGGATGGGTGACCGGCATGATTCTAGAGGTGGGAATTCCGCAGTCGGGTGAGAACGAGTGTTGTCTAGCACAACTACTGTTCGTAGGGACGGCACGTTAGGGGCCTCGATCTTGCCCGACTCTAGATCAGGAACAATGTCCCGAATAAGCGGGAGGTTGCTCCGTCCACGGCAGGGTTTGTAGGGCAGATCCGTGACAGCACCGATGATCAGAAGCTCAACGTCAAGGTGATTCAGGGCAGCAGACACTTGCTTGGCGTTGAATGCAGGATTCAAGGGCACAAGGATGGCTCCCAGCTTGAACACCGCATAGGTGATGGCAGCGTATTCTGCACAGTTGCCCAAGCTAACAGCCACCCTATCCCCCTTTTTAACACCAAGAGACCGTAGAGAATGCGCAAGACGGTTGGACACCTGGTCAAGCTCCTCGTATGTATAAGCCGTCTCTACAGCTTGTGGAAGCTGGCCGGGTGCGAGGTTCGGGAAGGCATCAGCGATAGCCGTTGGCGATCGTGCTATCACCGCAGGCCGGTCGCCATGCTGAGAGACGACGGAAGCGAAGTGTTGAGGGATGGTATGTTGGATCAATGGCGGCTATAAAAGCATTGTTAGCAATGGGTCGCCAAATCTTCTCTGCTACATCATAACGGTGAAGTAACCTACGTTTGTTGGACCTTCGGCAATACTCCTAGTCAATCCGCTGATTGTCCTCGCCGTCTGACATCTTGGTCTATAAGCCTGTGGGTTTCGCCATGCTTTGAACAAGCTTCGTCTGAACATAGGATCGAGGAGGCCGGTGGAACTGGACAGGCTGACCAGTCGAGGTCGGCAGAGCATCGTGCTTGCGCGTGGGTGTTGGAAAGTCGTGTGTAGTAATATCTAGGAATCCTCCTCGTGTAACCTGTTTCTCGAACTGCTCAACATGCCCACGTCACCTCCATCATAGAACAAGCGAGAGCAAAACAAAAGGAGAGCATCAATGTAGAGAGGAGGAAGAGGGAGCAAGCCTCGAGTCGAGAGATGATCCAGCCATCTTGCAACACTCCCCAGCCAAGACATAGCTCGACTTGAGACCCATTACCGTTGCACACTGCTGACCAGGCGATCTTCGGTACACTATGGTCTGTCTCTTGGACCAACTTCCGCTCCCCCTTTTGCTCTCTCAACAAGGAAAGGCCGGGACCGCCGCGGCCAGAAAACACGGGGTAGTGTGCACTGGCGGTGGGCAACAGACCTGGGAGTGATGAGGTAGTGCGGGGTAAGGTCAATGAGAATTGACCATCATTGCCAATGCCTCGGGGTTTTCTTAACCATCACTGGACAGCAGTTGGGGAGAAGTTGCATTCCATTGGACGTTAGCTCGGACGGGGAGCTCAGGGAGTTTCCCCAGATTCCTTCCCCCGCATTGCTTGGCAGTTCGTCTGTATCTGCCAATGTTTTTCTGCCCCTGAGTGGCTGTTGCCCTGGCCCTTGTGATGGTTGGCCATTTTGGTCAATTGATGTCGTTGCTGGCGAGGTGCTACATGTGTCCTGAGTTCATGTTTCTCCAACGAGATTGTATTTCGGGCTGCACTGCTTCGTTGCTTGACGTGGTGGTTACAAAGGTAATGTCTGTAGGAGGAAAGGTACCAGTTACACTGCACTTTGACACTGACGGGCAGGGCCGTGGGAGTGCCACAGCACATCCTGTTTGATTTTATGGCTTGTGGCAAGCGGTAGATCTTTTGAGTTGGGTGCTCAGAACTTCGTCGTCATGGCGTGCTGCCGAGAATGTCAACAATTCACGTGTAAAACCGACACTAAGCGAAGATGTCATCAATGTCCGCGGCAGCTCCACCATGATGGACCGTGATGGAGCTGACAGCGCGGGGTGAAGCGGAGCCATCACCGGCGGCGGGACCGGGATGGGGCCCACTGCTGCCAGGAAGGGAAGAAAGGATAAAGAGTTCCGGGTTCGGTGACGATTTCGGACCTGTGCCGTCCTAACTTAATCTTTCAAGACCTCTCTTTCGCTGCTGGCGAGATTGTGCCAGGTATAACAAAGGTTTCGTACAATGCTGCCTCCCGTTGGTTCGCTTTCCTTCTTCCACTTCTCATCATAACATCATAAGATGTCTCTAAATCGAGTTCCCATCTCCATCCATACTTTCACACTTCATCTTTTGTATACGCTCCCTCTTTTTCTATATCCCCTTTCCCGATATTGTCCCGTCTTGTACGTTCGAAATTTGTATAAAATGAACTCTCTCCGGCTGAAGCGTAGCATAGACGCGCATAAACGCCGTAACCATGCTGATGAAATAGTTGCGTAAAGAAATTACAAGTTGTAGAGCGGCGAGGCTGGGATTGGGGCCTGATCGCCGACATAAAAGACGGAAGCGAAGAACTGAAGGTCGCTAAATTCGGCTGCGAAGCCTTACTGCCGTGGCTTTTATTTGTTTTCGCCAATGTGGCGCTCGCTCTCGGGTTTCCATGTGCCTGTAAGTTTCAAGCCATGTTAGCTTTGTGTGCCAATTTACCAAGAGGGACGTTGTTGCATGAAAGACCTACCCTCAAAATCATGCTTTACGAAAGCCATGGGATCATCATAATCCTTGGCACCCATCTGGCCCACACCAGGGGAAAAGCTCGTGATGGGGAGAACGACAACGTCTCCTACCCGCTTCGAGACCTCCATACCCGTAAAGTTCTTCCAGTCGATCGATCCCGCAGAGTGTGTCATGTCGAAATACCGCTTGTCGTTTAAATACTCGAAGATGACGTCCGTCCAGAGGGCAGGCCCCGTAAACTCGATAACGTTCTTATCAATTATGCCCCTCAGCGTTCCGTTTCTCTTCATCGCCAGCGTCGCATTCGTAATGCGCGAAACGACCTCCCGCAACACGGGATGGCCGGGCTTGCTCTGGATCGTCCACTGGCAGAACTGGATCCTCCGGCTGTACCACTCTTTCCAATCCGGCCTATCTGGGTCGGCCTCGATACCAATCACCAAGCCAATGGCATCTTTGGGGACCGAATCGGGAATCCACTCGACGGCGCTCCGAATCGCATACGTGTCGATGTCCGAGTAGATGCCGCCCCTCGCCAGCAGGATCAGATAGCGGAAGAAGTCGGCCTTGAGGACGGGCAAGGGAAGCGCATTGTAGGCCTCCACCACCTCGGGAACTGATGTGTAGAGTAGGCGGATAAGATGTACGGCGACCTTGTCTGTGATGACTTCGTGGATGAACCCTGGGTGTTGCTGTGTCCATGTAGCCTCTTGGTCACGGAAGGTGAACTCGCTGTGAGCCGGTGTCCACTTCCATGTCTGCCAAATGTAGGCGGGGAACTTGGATTCTACATCGTAGGGGAACTGATACGCGAGCTTCTCGTATAGTGTCATTCTCGACATGTCTTGGATCGGTCGTTGCCCCTGGGGGTTTTGTTGGGCCGAGTTGTGCCCCGAGGGGCTCTTGTCGGTTACAGCAGTTGTTGATGCATGCTTGGCTGCCTCGACATCGGCGTCGGCTTTAGGGATAGCTGGTGTCGTTACTGATGGAGGGTTCGACGAGGATGATGATATGAGGTAGAAGACTGTGAGGAAAAAGGCCGCTGCCACCAGGGCGCGGCGGAAAGTGAGCATGGTCGAGAGGGATGGTCGAGGCGGCTGTCGCGCAGAGACAAAATGTCATTAGCGTCTTTGACTAGCATTGGGTTAAAGGGGGAGAACGCATTTGGCGATGTACTTACATACTGCAGTGCGTGACGGCGCCTCTTGCACCTTGACCAAGCGACTGGACCGACGTGACTTTTTGATCGGTCTCCAGACACCGTGGAAACGTTTTAGGTGCTCCCCTAAGGTGTGGTGACGTGCATCGACGCGCGTTGCGTAGCGGAAGTCAGACCCGAGCTGATGGTGTGAAGTTCGAGGTTGGTCGAAGCCTGAGACGGTAGGCGCAATTGACGGTATTGGGTCGTAGGAATGGGAACGAAATCGATCAATGATAACGACCAAGCTTGAAGAAAGAAACCAAGGACTCTTTGCAGACAGCGCACTCTTTGAATGATGATCAGGACAAAAGTCCTTTTGCAACAGATTTGCGCTACAGGGGCGCTGCCCTGGCCGACAGCTCGAGAGAATCGATTTCCTTGAAAGGGTCGCGAAGCACTGGGCCGCTGTGAACGAAGTGGAAATGCCCCCAAGGTGCGTGGGGCCAGTGATCCCACCAGCGGATGCTAGGGTCTTGGCCGTAGGGAGTGGTCAGGGGTGTCCGTGCAGCCCGGCGGCGTGTAAATACCTACGTTAGGTATTCCCCCTGGTTGAATGATGGTCTGTAGCTTGGTTACCTTTGCGGATGAGGACTATTCTGAGATACCGTGACGAAGATCTTGTACGTTCTTTGTTGGTGAACCGAAAGATAAGTCGCTGTAGCCAGTATCTTCTCCTGAGGATCTGTGCTGCGTTAACCGTTTGATACTTGGGGGAAGATTTACCTCTCGTTTCAGATACATAGCCGCAACAGCGTCGAAACGCAAACGCCACGCGGCCGAAATTCCGTGGTCAACGCAATCACCACTTCAGAGGCCGCGTACGGCGATCTCTAGAAGTCCCAAATTATCAAAACTTAACTTAGCCGAGCGGATGAGAGCGAAAGGTCTGAAACCGAGCGTCTCAAGACACCTCCAGATGTCAACATCAACGCTATCGCCACTTACGACCGCAGCATGAGTTGACCGCGGGGTTTAGACCCGTCTGTCCGCTCGTTGAACAACTGAACACAACTGACCCGACACGAGTAACGGTCCAGACCTTACCGTTCCGCATGTCATGCTTCAAACGGATATGTGTGTTTGTACGACCGACACGCGTTGAGGACTTCAAACAAAAGCTTGCGCAACCCCCAACTTTGGATAATGTCGATACATATCTGCAACGCCAGAAACGCAACGGGTTGCAATCTCAACCAGCGCACAACACACAAGAAAGCTGACAGCTTCAGAGCTTGTCACCCAATAGATACCTAGGATTAAACTGCATGTACTGCACATCCTATTCCAGTATGAAATCGGGTTGTCTCACATGGGCAACACCCACTTTCCTTTCTCCCGTCTCCGTCCCTCCTCCGTCAAAGATCATCGTTCTTTCTTCTTTTTCTTTTCTTTCGTTGGTCGTCTCAGCGGTCATCACCAAACCGTTATCTCTCCGGTGAAGAGATCGTCAACTTCCTTATCTGGCATCTGTCATGAAGGGGGACCCTGGCTGTAATAATTCGAGGTGCCATCCTTCGGTTGCAACAAGAAGAAATAAGATGGCGCTAAGCGTGTCCAACGGCGCCGCCAATTTGTATTTCAATTCGGAAGCAATCTTACCGGGCGGTGCGGCGGCCGGCGATCTCTTTCGTGCTTTAATTGTGAGGTATCAATTTGAGAATTCTGATTGGCTGTTCACTGGTTGGGGTGGAGTCCTTTTTCCGAGCACTGAAGATGAAACACACGCACTGGGGGAAGGAACAGTTCTCGAGAACGCCATCCCGCAACGGAAAGCTCCACTGAATGCCAGGGACGACGCCTTGCCGACGGGAATTGTCTCCAAGGGTCCCAACAAAATGATGGATGCCGTTCTCTCTTTTCCTGGGACAAAGAACGTCATTCTACACGTCTTAGCGAGGCCGGGTGGTGTAAAGACAAACCGAACACTCGCGGACAGTCCAATACGGCTCGCCTTGGTAACAAAAGACCATTACAACATGATGACGGGGATCACAAAACTTCGAAAACACTTTGGCAAGCGTCCCATAAATATCTTTCCCGTCAAGGAATGCCTAAAGTTGGCTTCGAAGGCATAACGAGGACGCTTGAATGTATGTGAGGGTATAACCAGGGTGTATTGTACTAACCTTTGATTTGTTCGGTTTCTCCTTACAACCGCTCGCTTAGGTATTAGGTATGCCGGACCCTTTGTGGATTTCGACAGCGCCACTGGACTGTGTGCAATATCTGATCAAGTGTGCCATCCGAACTCCGGCACGCTGTTGTGTCGCATAAGGGCGCCGAGTCCGTGACCGAAGTGCTCAGCAGGTATCCAAGGGTTAGGGTCCTACGTGAGGAGTTTGTATCTTCGGTCACCTATCAAGGTGAGCTCGCCGATATCTCCAGAGCCTGCTCATTTTGGGTCTCCATTGTCTTATGTTGTGATGCTTGCCTTGTGCATGGTATGAGAGTGCCTTTTTTTCGTAGTGTATGTGTCGTTCCTCTCTTGCGATGTCAGTTCTTCCACGGTCTCCATCAAGAGAACCAACTTGTAATCCGAGAACAACCTTTACTGACTTTACAAGCAGCCCAATAGATATCATTCATCCCGTTTCCCGGTCAGCCCCTTGAGCGAAACTCGTTCCGCGACGACTTACGACATCAGCCTTGAAAAGGCTTTTTATCAGTGGTCTGCCTTGGAGGTGGGTAATGTCAACCCTCCCCCCCTTCCCCAAGCCACAAGTGTACTTCCCCCCTCTGCGGCTGATTGATGGTGAGCTTGTCCAACCATGGTGAAACGGGCTGGAGGGGCTTGAAACAAGTCATCGTAATGATGACAGCATCATCGGAACTGTGGGGGGTCGAGATCTGACACGAGGTCGAGCGTCGGACGCCTCGTTGCCTCTTTCTTTACGCTTCTTCTCAGCCATGGTTTATGTTTGTTTACCTCCCCTTTATGTGTGGACTGTGCCACATCACACTCGATATCTGCGATAAGGCAAACAGCCCTTTTAACAAGCTCCGGCGTAAGACCTTTTCTTAGTGTGAAAAGTACCTAGTCGACGAATCCTGTGCTCCGAAGCTGAACTGATATCCGTTGACCGAGAAGTAGGCAAACTGGATTCCGCGTACTCTAAATCGAATTAGTTGAGAAGGCACCCTATCAACACCAAGTGGCTCCCTCCTTTCGAGAGCCATGTATGTCAGTATTTGAAGTTCTGGTTTCGTTGTCGAGCCTAGAATGGGCCCAAGTCTCAGGCAGTAACTCTTCGATTTGCCTCCCTGGTGTTGGGACGAACTCTGGGTAGAGTAAGTCTTACGAAACCGAGGGTTAGGTTCCAATAACTACACCAGCCTATCATGGCATTGCCGCTGCTTACTGGTTCCGTTTTTGCAGAGATCCCCACGAAGCCTGATGGATTTTGCATACGGCTGACCAACACGCACTTTGTTGAAGTTGTCTGTTTGCCCAGTTGAATACCGACGTTTTACTTTGGCCTAAGCTTTCTGCAACTGTCCAAGCGACAGAGATTCTTGTTCGTCAGTTCTCAGCTCAGCCCTACAAAGTATGTAACTTGATCTAGTTGTGAGCACATAAGCAAGCACTTACCCATGGTCCGGCCAGTGATAATGGGCCAATCGTATCCAATAGGGCGTCCCCGGTTATTGTTTTTGCATTTTGCTAATGTAGTAAACAGTTAACTTCATATCAACAGCGGCAAGTGGCTTCGTAAGGCTACCTGCTTACAAGAGGGGGATATGCCATTGGCAGGCAACGTTGATCGGTGCTAGGAAGTGAAGAGAAAGCTTAAAAATAGATCAGCAGTTCTTATTAAGCAATATGTCTGACGGTAAATTCAAGATTCTGTGCGAAACCGGCAAAAATGATAAACAATCGTGATACCTGATAGCTAAGAAATGGGTGTCGTGGTTTGCGGACTCAATGTGAACTCCAGAGACCGGCGAAGAGCGAGGTTCCAATCGGGGATTTTGTAGCTTCAGGCAAAATTCTGCCTTAGCTACTGGTAAGGCGCTGGTATAAATATGACGAAACCTTTTTCTAGATGCTACTAAACCTCGTATGTGGTAGGTAGGCTGGTAGGGCAGCCGAAGCTGAAGCAGGACCAGTTGCCTTATCACAGCGGCCGTGTTCCAATGTGAGTGTCCAGTGTACGCCAGATCCCGCAAGTGGTGATCACTCATTTTGGTCTAGTCCAATAGACTTCGGATAACTCCTCGACATTTTGATATTTTCGCTGGTTTGTTAAAAGGTCTATATGGCGTGAGCTTTCACGATAAACTTTGTCAAGTAGTCGTTAGACAGACTCTAGCCGAGGTCATATGCTTTGGTGTGCCTTGGTGTTGCCTGCTAATATGCTTGGAGTTGGACAGGGAGTCGAGTCTTCGAGATCTGCGTCTATCCCATGTCATCTCACGGCTTCTGCAGTGCGCGGTAAAACGGTGCAGGAAGGGATGGCAGCCGGGTGGCCCGTGTAATAAATGTATGACGTTTTGAAGCCGGCGTGGGATCCCCACCTGAGCTTCATACAATGGTTCACAGTTAACATCGCTTTACTTTAGCTTGGTATCACCCTATATCAGGCCATAGTTGTCGTGTCACTCTTTGTACCTTTCTCGGGCCTCGTTCGACCATCAACAATTACCCTCAATGATGGCCGTAGCTGCATCTTTCCTTGCACATGATTCTCAGTTCCCGAGATGCCCGAGATGATCGAGAATTTTGTGTTTAAGTGTCCAATGCTCACAGCTAGAACTTCCACTTTGGAAACTGGGGCTGGAGATATGTAAAGAAACAGACTGTGTACACCAGTCCGGGACAGCTTTGTCGATACAACGAGGATGACATTCCACATCAGACTAGAAGGGAAATTT